TGTAACTTTCATCAGCTAGTTGAGACCATGCCACTAAGGGTTTGAATGGGGTTCTGGGTGTTGTTGTATATGTGGGTGTGTGAAAATTGATGAAAAATAATGAAAATTAAATGAAATTCGAAATTTGCATAATTTATCCGAAATTATGTGAATTCGTGTAATTATGCATATAAATTATGCTAATTCGAGAGGTAATCGTATTAATTTATACGAGTGGGTGTGGTTGTGCTAATGATATCCTTTATGATAATCAGGCCCCGCCTCGTTGACGAGGTGGGGTTATCAATCAGGATAACGCAATCAATCGTGTGCAGTTACGCTAGTGTCAATTCGGCCTCGTTGTCTAACTTCGTATTATTGATCAGCATAATACAATGATTCTCGCTTTAACACTCTCCGAGTGTTCATATTTTAGGTCCCAAGTTCATATCATTCGCTTTAAAGTTTAATGAGTGTGGATTGGTGTGTTTATAGTTTAGGTTCCCGAGTTCATATATCATCGCAGGATACAGATCTTATGCAAAAATTTCAGGAAAGAATCACACGACCACTTCTGTATTAATCAATTTATTTTCTAATTAAACCTTAACTATAATATGTATGTGAACTCTCAATCTCGGAACTTCAACACGGTATCCACACGGTATCAAGACAGTATCATCCACGACTGTACGATTTCACTTTGATAAGACAGTATCATCCACGACTGTACGATTTCACTTTGATAACACATGGACCCCGCATAAAGCAATTGCTGTTAGTGAGAGAGAGAGTCAGAACATGCCAATGCTATGCTACACAAACGCTTATACATTATAATATGAACGATCATTATGCTTGAAATGGTCAGCACATTATCACAGGTGATTGATTAACATGCAACGGTATTCATATAAAAAGACAATCAAACAGTTATTATTTCCAAAGGCATAAATGTAACAACAGATCCACCGGACAGACTATAAGATTACCGAAATGGCTTAGTATGAGGGTATGCGGCGGAACGTGTTATCTCACGGGAGACTAATTAATTCGTGAATAAGATTGTATGATCAGAAATTCGGTTTAGCACGATTCCTCCCCGGTAGCGTAGCTCCGTGGCGAAGGTGCCAAGGGTCAATTCGTATTGATGGATCGGTTGGTAACTTATGCGATTAGAAGTACAGTCCAAAACAAAATATTAAAGAGGAAAATTATGAATATACTTATAAACGACGGACTGTTATCACACGATCGATGCTTCCACAGCCAGATGGTTCACGGACTTGAGTGTTCGCTTCTGGTAAAGGACCCGTGTATGTTTGAGTGATATTAATTGTTTTGAATAGTCAGTGTTTGGAATTAATTATTTGCGTTAACATACACCGAAGTTGGCATCGCTTGTAGGAGAAGTAGACTCGCTCCCTTTAGAGCGGTGAGGTGCGTGGGGGTGCATCATACGTATCGCCGCCCTCCTCCACGCAGCAGCCAGCCTCTGTCCACGGGGGAGAGTTGTTTGATCGCTCTCAGTTCTGCTCAGTGGACACCTCTCTCCACTGCTGGATGAGCTGCGCGATCACGCTCGTGCTGGTTCGCTGACAGCAGTTTCTCTCCGCTGTTGGATGAGCTGCATCGGCACGCTCCCTCTCTCTGGGTGGAGAACTCGAACATGCTCGTTGCTGGTTTGCTGAAAGCAGGTTTTTCTCCACTGCTGGATGACTCAAGTCGCACGTGCTCTTGCTCTGGTTTGCAGAAGCTCTTGCTTGGTGCGTCGGTCGCTCTGCAGCTGGACTCAATGTAGAATAATCTTTCAGCATTACTCTGTCTTTCAGCTCTTTAAATCACCCTCGGTGGCGCCTCACTACCCTGCGAGTCTTGCCAACGTCAGTGGGTAGCGACGGGGTCACTTTTGCCTCTGCTCGCCGCCCCCTGCTCTGCAGCTCGCCAGCTGGCGACCTGTTGCTCTCGTTCCCGATTTGAACTGCTCCTGAGCCGACCCACTGGTCGAACTCTCTCGCGTGTCGAACTGCCCCGAGTTCCGACCCCCCTGGTCGAACTCCCCGAGTTCCGACCTCCGAGTCGAACTGTCTCCCGAGAGTCGACCTCCCGGTCGAGCTCTGGTGAGCCGACCCCCCCCCTCCGGTCGAACTCTGGTGAGCCGACCCCCCCCCCCCCGGTCGAGCTCTGGTGAGCCGACCCCCCCCCCCCCGGTCGAACTCTGGTGAGCCGACCCCCCCCCCCCCCCGGTCGAACTGAGGTTTCAATGCTCAGGATCCTCTTTTTATGCCCAAAAATCCCTTCACTCGGATCCTGCCCACAAGGCGGGGTTTCTTTCGATTTTTGCTGTATCAGGATTTGTCCGTATGTATCTGCGTCCGTGTGTGTGTCCGTATGTGTGTCAGTGTGTGTCATTGTGTGCATCACCCACGGTATATTCCGTTACCATACTCCTACCATAAAACCTACAAGTAAAACAATCAAATGTTATAAATTGTCTCGAAGGCGCCTCTTTGTCTGGGTGCACAACCTGGAGGGAGGGGCGATATTCCCTCCGACTTTCACCGACGCACAAAGAAATGGTTAAAAAGTTTTAAGTTAACATTTCATTTCATCAGAGTTCCACAGTTATGATTCTGTATTAATCCAAGGTCTGGGTCAGCTTCCCGTTGTGGTGTTTGACTCGTGTTTCTCCGAGCGTATACACACTCCTACCCCGTGCTGCGGGGATACAAAGACGGCCGGGATCTCCCTTTCTCTCTGACCCTGGGTTTAACATCACCCTTTGCTTACGTTGCAGTTTTGCTGTGCGCTTGCATTTCTTTTCCTCTCTACTCTTACTTTAACCCTGCTTATTATTTGCGTATGGGTGGATTAGAGCATTCATGTTGACTTAGGAAAACCTGATTGTTATAGGCTTCGGGTCAAGTCGTATAGAAATTATTAAAATATGTAAATACATTTCATATTAAATTAATAGACGGGTGATGGTTACATTGACGTAGCTTGTGGCAGGGTTCAATTGAAATGGGTGTGAAGATCAATAACTTTAGCCTACCCTGTCGTTAAATTCCGACTTTAAGTTACTTTAATAGTAATGCAGAACCAATTAGCTTTTTGACTTAACTAGATCTAGACTAACGCAAACTCCCAGTGACCCTGGCTTTGTGTTTACACCAGCCCCTTGCAATCCGCTGTGCTCTGCTCTCTATCTGCTCCCTCTGACCCTGGGAGGGCTCTGAACGTCAAAACCGTGTTAGTGGGTCATGGTAAATATGACCTCCACATGCCATGCTGAGGCCTGGTTTGGTGTTTTTATTCATTATTAAAATAAAAAAACACAATAGAAATATGTATCTATATGTATCGAAAAATTACTTGTTAATATTAAGATGGAAAGGGGGGCATATACAACAGTGTACAGCCACCACCGGAGTGGAAGAATGGCAGGCGCATCTTACAGATGATAAGTCGATGGTCAGTGGGCAGATCAGCTCCACGGTAGGTCCTGGTGTCAAGGACATGGCCCACATCTGCTATTCTGTCACTGTAGTCCAGCAGATGTTCTTGCTTGGACCCAGCATGCATCCATGATGTGGTGTGGATGCGCCGATGCCGGAACAGCGTGTTGGTAATTACAAGCCCATGGGCAGCACAAAAAACTAGAAGCCTCCTACCGTTGTTATTGAGCTGATCTGGCCCATGACTTCCAATCACTCCAGACCAGGTGCCAGCATCATGACCAACTCGGGCATTGAAGTCACTAAACAAGATGACTCTATCCCGAGGGGCCACTATAGCTAGCACCTGTGACAGGAGGTCATAGAAGGCATCTGACTCATCGGCCTTGCCTGCATCCATCCACGGATGTTCGTCTTAAGTGGGGGCATAAGTAACCACGACCACCACTCCTTGCCTCTGGTTGCTGGGAAGGCGAGCCCAAAGTAGCCTGGGGCTTACAGCTTCCCACACCTCACCGCCACGCTCCCACGCCCCCTTCATTATTTTATTCCGAAGATCCACACCCTGTTGTTTGGCAGTCTCCTGCCCCGAGTAGAGGACTGTCCACCCCTCATGGTGGCAGGAGCCAGTGCCGGTCCACCGGACCTCCTGAATACCACAGAGATCCAGGCGGTACCGGTCCAGCTCCCGACAGAGGAGTGGCAGCCTCTCCGCAGTACGCGTTCGAACATTCCACGTGGCCACACCTAGTGGGTTTTTTTTGTTTCTGGAGGAGCCCCGAGGGTAAGGATTCAGACTCCTGGCTCCGCCAAATGGGGTTTGGCCAGGAGACGTTATAGATGCCTGTCCCCCCGGGGCTTCCGGCACAAGCTTATTTATTAAAAATTTCTGTCGTGCTTTAATGGTAATTAATTGAAGGTGCGGGGGGGGGGGGTTATCAGCCCCTCGCACCCGTCCAGAGCCCTCATTTAGCGGCTGTGGTGGCTACAAACGCCATGAGAGGAAAGGCCAATTTAAATTGGCTCTCCCCCCACGGGACTACCCACCACAGCGTTGCCGCCCGGCACCACGAGGAGGTAGGGGGTTGTTTTGCTGGACAAAGAAACAAAACAACAACAACCGCAATTCGCCACTAAGTGGCGGTGACGTCACCACGACGCTTGTGCCAGGCCATGTGCACCTTGAGGCCACGTGAAGTGTCGAACGCCCGCGGGCAGGAGGTCACGGGGCAGACCCAGGTGCCACGGGTCGACTGACTGAGTTGACTTGCTGATGCACCACCTGTGCCCCCTACCGTGCCAACCTGCTGTGCTTTAGCCACCCGGCGCTCCGCACGTTGTTGTGAGCGTCGCTCCTCCGCCCTCCGTTGTTGTTGGAGGGCGACTACCTCCAACTGCCCAGTAGCAGCAGCGTCCTTCAGAACGAGCGTCCTCCACACACACATACATACACATACACGGTGCACACACACCACGCTGCACGTGTTCCCACGCGTGTCCGCCGTCACGTGGCGGGCGCCTCCACCAATGGGGCGTGCGGAACGCGTCCTTCCTGTCTCCACCTCCTCCACCACCTCTTCTGTCATCACCGCCTTCACCACCTCCTCCTCTACCTCCTCCAGCATCACCGCCTTCACCTCCTCCTCTACCTCCTCCTCTACCTCCTCCAGCATCACCGCCTTCACCTCCTCCTCGACTTCCTCCCTGCGGGTGTCTCCGTGCCGACGACTCTGAAGAGGCGAAAGAGGCAAGAGGAGGTGAGATAACTCTTTGGCAGGCTCGTGCGACCCACCCAGCGTCTCTCCCTCCGCGTGTGCTTCTTGTACGTTGGCTGTACCACTGAGTGCTGTTGTGGTGTTGGTGGTGGTGTTGTTGTTGTACTCACACAGCCTGCAAGTTTGTAGCGTGCGTGTGGGGGAGCGGTTCAGCGCGCCGCGCTACGAACCCGGCGGCCCCCGAGTTCGATTCTCGCTCACGGCCACCAAACGCCCATCAGTGACGGGTGTCTGAACCGGTCCTGGGCCTCCTCCCCTAGGTCGACTCGGCCTCAAATGAGCGCCTGGTGCGGTGTGTAGTAAACGTCGCCGCTGGCGGAGACAAAGGCGGCCGGGCGTGGTGCTGGCCACCCACCCCCCTGGTGTGCCACAGTGCCGGTAGCCTTCATAGGTGCTGCCCCCCAACAGCAGCTAGCCCCCCAACAGCAGCTAGCCCCCCAACAGCAGCTTGTCCCCCAACAGCAGCTTGTCCCCCAACAGCAGCTTGTCCCCCAACAGCAGCTTGTCCCCCCAACAGCAGCTTGTCCCCCAAACAGCAGCTTGTCCCCCCAACAGCAGCTAGCCCCCCAACAGCAGCTTGTCCCCCAAACAGCAGCTCCCCCCAACAGCAGCTTGTCCCCCAACAGCAGCTTGTCCCCCAACAGCAGCTTGTCCCCCAACAGCAGCTTGTCCTCCAACCAAGTCTTGTTGCAGGCTGCATCGCGCCTCTGATGGGGCCCCTCCCAACGTGGTGGGTGGCAAGCGGACGAGCGGTTCAGAGAGGTCAATCGTGATGACGTTTTTTGGTTTGGCCGTGTGTTGGTTTGTTGTAGTACGGAGTTAGACTGATGGCCTTAATCTAAGTTGTCTTGTGGTTGTTGTTTGACTTGCATCCCACTGGGAATTTTGCACACAGAGTTGGTGGTGTACGGTGCCTTTTTCAGGAATATTTTGATGTTTTTTTTTCCCCCTGGATTTTCTGTTTGCACAGTCGCGTAGTCACTTTAAGATGTTTTCTTGTTTTTGTTTGTTGCGGTTGCACCCGATTCAAGAGCCGAATGGCTCCACAGGGCTATACCAAAATAAATGAAACTGAAAACTGTACTGTACTTGTATGCACCCGCGTCTACCCCCCGACCCTCTTTATTGCCAACGCCGCACTGACCAGCGTGGTGAAGTATGGTCAACGAGCGGCGTGTAATTTGGCCAAACGCACAGCTGTCAACCCCTGATTACAGATCTATTCAGATATTATTGGTCACCACGTGCCCCGTATACATCTCAGCGTTCATCTTACAAAGTTCCACCACAAAGGAGGACACACAAACAAACAGACACTTTATTTCGCTCGACTTCCCTGTACAAGAATACGGGTAAACCGTATGGGTTGACAGGTGTGCAAACGTCCCAATGCATGACCCATCATAAAATGTAGCCTTCAGACTCATTGAGACTTTCCTGCATACATAAAAGGCTCTGGTTTATACTACGGTCCGCGTACTGTGCATTCTGCACACTTTGCCACATGCACCATGGTGCATGTGCTACATTGTACTTGTGCTCTGTATGTGTATATGCACCTTCGTTTCGAATGGCATATGCGTATTATTATTATACAACCAGCCGAGCTTTTGCTCGCAGAGTTAAACTTACCACAGAGAAACCCACACAGAGTGAGAGAGACACCACATTTTGCCTGCGGGAATTTGAAAGAAAAAAATGGGCAGGGCACTCTGTACTATTAGAGGACTGGGCGTGTCACTCAATACCCGGTGTGTGTGTGTCACATACTGTACATTATATTATGCTTGCAGTCGTGGGTGATGATTGCTATGTATAATACCAATTTAGCCATTTGCTAATGATGGTTACGTATACCTGTCAACCCATAGGTGTACCCAGTATTCTTGTGCAGGGAAATTGAGTTTTCAGGTCCATACGGCGTACAGCCGTTTTAATACGCGCAAACAAATTGTGTCTATTTGATTGTGTCTCTCTCTCTCTTGTGATGGGACTTTTGTAGGATGAACGTTGAGATTTATAAGGGCACGGGGGTGACCAATAAGGCCAGAATTGGCGTGTAATAAGGTAGGCACTGATAATGGGTTGACAGGTATGGTTCCGGGATCTTTAATCAAAGACAGTGAGTCAGGTTGTTTTTTTTTCACGGTTAATACAACCGCATTATTAATTATGGGTGGTTGCTGGTTTTTGTACCGTGAAACTCTTCTTGCAACAGGCGGTGAATCCGTGTAACCGCTAAGCCCATGTCACACCGCAAGCGTGATCAGTGTCGCCACGCCAATACCAATACAATCGCCATTCGCCACTAAGTGAAGTGTCGAAGGCTCGCTGCTGACGGGAGGAGGTCTCGGGTCAGACCCAGCAGGTGCCATGGGTTGGCCGACTGAGATGACCGGTAGATGCACCACCAACTGTACCCCCCTACTGTGCCAACTTGCAGAATTTTATCCGCCCGGCACTCCGCTCGTTGTTGTGAGCGTCGCTTCTCTGCCCTCCGTTGTTGCTGGAGGGGCGACTGCCTCCAACTGGCCCAGTAGCAGCAGCAGCGTCCTTCACGAGCCTCCTCCACGCACACGGTCACACGTGCGATATGAGACGTGCACAGGACAGGCCTCCCATCAATCCACTGCTGGGTGACGGCCTTTACACGCAGTGTCAGTCGTGGGGCTTGTCCACTGGACATCTGTGTTAAAGAGGTTCATAGCTTACCGGATTCCTTGTAAGTGAATATTTTGATTCACCACGCAAGGCAGTACAGGTTGAGGAAGGGAGGGTCTCAAGACCGCTTGCCAACGGTCATAGCCGTGGGCAGGAATTCAACTCCAGTTGTGAGTAATGATCGCATGTATAATAACATTTTAAAGTACTGCAGTGTTGATGATTATCATGACCAGGCGAATGCCCACTCACGTTAATTATTATTTACAAGTCCAAGTACTAAAGAGACAAAATGTTCTTATTTTCTGATTTCCGTTTGTGTGTTCAGATATTTATATATCACATTAGTGTCTAAACATGGGTGTACTGTATAGGGGATTAAAGTACTGTAGGTCTATGTATGTGTATATACTATGTTTACGTATTGTATACATATTGCATATGCATCATGGTGTGTGTACACAATTTATTGTACTGACTGCATATGCACACACACGGTTTAAAAAATATAGACATTTGGGTTGTTTTCATTATTGTTTGTTACTTATAATAGCCTGAGAAATGTAGGTGTCAGTAAAATTACGAATGAAACCATATTCTCATACTCTTTGGCTCTTTCGGTAAAGTCACTTAGGTAGAAAATAATTAACACAGCAAACACAGCAGGAGAACTGCGGTTGCTCGTGTTGCGATGGAAACGTTGTGATCTGATTATTTTCTACCTACGTGACTTTACCGAAAGAACCAAAGAGTATGGATTCCTGCAGTCACGAAAGCTTCAACTCAAGATGAAACCACATTCATTCATCCTAAACAGAGTAAACTAATTGTGCGTCAGTCTAAAACTCGAAATGGACCAGGTATGGCTTTGGCCTGACCACCTCATGGAATGCCTTGCCAGCTTTAATAAACGCTTGCTGCCATGGTATTAACTCATGAAGCTATTAGTGTCAGGACAATGAGCCAGCAGCACTGCAAAGATCCAAAGTTTAAATCAGCGATTAAACCATATTCTTAAGGTTAGTGTGCTGATGGTCTCAGACCACTTCCTAATTATGTGAGAGAAAAATACATCTTGTTGAATTTAGTTTTGTGCGTTTTGTTTTCAACTAAATTCAACTTATTCCAGTTCTGGGAGTAAAAACGATTTGGTACAATTGACCTATGATTAACATTTAGTTTATTTCACAGCAAAAAAGATGTGTCTCTCGCATGGCTAAATAGGCCAATTGAAGTGACCTCAGAGTAGTTCCATGACATCATCTTCCAAGGTGGTGTAATATTAGCTGCTAGAGCTCTGGTCGCAAATGTCTTCGTCGAACAACATCTTGTTAATCGCTCATTTGGAATATAATTGTAAGAATAGTTTATACCAATATGTCCTCCGTTCAACATTGTATACAGCGTAATACTCGTCTGCCTGTATGCATGTATGTATGTTGAACTTCTTTCGTACCGAACGTAGCCAACCGTGCTAATCGCAGATGCGGGTGTGTGTGTGTGTGTTTGCTTGGTGAGCAAAGATATGGCAGCGTCATGTGTGAGCAAGGTGGAGTTGACGGTAAGCTGCAAGGATCTCCTGGACAAGGACGTGGGCTCAAAGTCGGATCCGCTGTGCGTGGTGCTCATAGAGGCCGGGGGCACATGGAGCGAGGCAAGTGGATTGTGACATTTGATGGTGAACCCAGGCCCTGGTTGATAATTTCACATCTGAAAGGAAAATGTACCTTCCGGTACTCACCCAGATCGATGGCATTTGAGTAACCGCTTTTAAATTGCAAAAATGTTCCTCTCGCCATTCAGTTGGTGCTCACGGGGTTTTAAATAGCCTGGTTGGACAATGCAACAGTTTCCCGGATAGTATGAGCACCATTGATGATTTTTTAATGGTATCTATGTTGTTTGTCTCTTAACTTTGATTCTTAAATATGTCATTGTTAGTTTTAATGTTAGAACACTTAGTCTGTTCTCTTCAGTTACCTGTGTGAAAAGTGGGCTAATTTTAACCAAATCCTGGCACAGCTGGCTCAGCACAAACAACATGAGGCATGTCGTGGCCTCATTGTACCAGCAGTGCACAATAGCTGCAGCACATGAGAAGCAAGGCTGCCCTTCTGCATTGCTTTCATCTTATCGTGTTGTGCATTGTTTTATCCCAGGGCTGCTGTCATGCATGCGCAAATTAATAATGAGATAAAAGTATTGACACAATCACTGACTTAAGTTATTCCAGATTACTTTGCATAACACTGGAGCTACATGTCCCACCTGCACAACGCACACACGGACATGTCACCCCATGAGTATTATTATTCTTTACACTTCGCTGTTATGTTTCGCATTTTCTCTTCATTTAATGCCTAATTCCTGTCTATGAATTGTAGGCTTGTAATGTTGCTTCAATAGATATTTTTCCTTAAGCTTGTGATGCATGCTTTCGGAATTGTGTGCAGGAGCTGAATAAGTTAATTGATGATATAGCCTGTCTTTAGGCTAATGTTATGAAGACAGGACAACCGAGATAGAACAGATGAGACAGACAATACAACTGAAAAATACAAAAGAGGCACAGACATTCCTGATTGCTTCAGAATCAAATCATTGCATTAATTGCTTGGGAGAGGTGAGGTGAGGAGGATCCATACTCTTTGGTTCTATTGGGTAAAGTCACGTAGGTAAAAAATAAAATAACAAAAATCACGACGTTTCGGCCACAACACAAGCGGCGTGATTTTTGTTATTTTATTTTTTACCTACGTGACTTTACCCAATAGAACCAAAGAGTATGGATCCTTGCAGTCACGAAAGCTTTAAATCTAGAAGTGAGGAGGATCGTTACACATCTCATATATCGTTATGATACATTGTGGTGGCCACAGTAAATATGACATTTTCACTCCATGGAATACATCTGAACAAAATAGGTTTAGGTATCTTACGGATTGAGAACCAGCCCTGTGGTTATTTGGACGGTATGTATGTTGATTAATAATTGACTAACGCATAAGCCAATCAGTCGGATTCCCATCGTGTTCTGCATTTATACTGCATGGGAAAACATCACGGTGTTTTGTTAATAAGTTAAAGCCAATGGGGAGCTGCAAGCCCCATTAATTATGGGTGAGTCCATTGGCTATTCACAAGCTGTTAGCTGGTACTTAGGCATGCGGCACAGCTTGCTCCCACAACTGATTAGGGGTACCCCATGCAGTGTATGCAACGTTATGAGAAGCTAGTGCAATATTTGCCTTGCTCGTTTATTAAACAATGCATGTTACAAAATAACCATTAGCGTAGTTGTGGAGAATATAAATAAAAATGAATAAGCAAACAACATGTTTCCTTCACGTATCTGTCTCTCTTCCATCATATGTGATCTCCACATAGAATAAAAGTATTTCTTACACAACCCATGATCCAACAGCCCTCTGGGAATGCATAATTTCAGCAGCATTGATTCAGTACAACCAAACTCTGGAATGGTAAGTGAAGATCTTGTGGTTCACCTGCATTGATTGAAGTGAGCTGGACACTGCTGATGAGACACTGTTAAAATTGGTCCATAGTTTGTACTGAATCGGCGATGATTAAATTATACACTCCCAGAAAGCCGTTGGGCTAATGGATTGTGTAAGTCATACTTTAATTTTTAATGTGGAGTGACAGATTAAAATCAACAACAGTATCTTGTTGATTTTCATGAAAAATACACATGCATATATTTTAATAATTTTACATCATGTTTTTATATGCATATATATTGCAGCCCTGTTACCTGATATTATGAGTGTATTATTTGCCCCCAGTGGATACGAAAAACTTCAATTAACCTCACATTGATTCTCGTATTTGCATTTTATGCAAATACGAGGAGTCGGGGAGTGGTAGCAAAGTGGCGAATGCACTGCAACATGAGTTTTATTGCTGGCCATGACTTAAGTGGCGAGTTATATCTGAACCCATCCTGGCACCCTTCCTCCGACCTCCCCCCTCCATGACTGACTAACCAGCACTGACCAGAGTAGTCAAGTATGGTCACAAAACCCCATTGATTGACAGACTGTCAGGAGACTAAGTAGTGGATGGATAAAGGGGTGTAAATAAATAAACCCAAATAGGAATCTCCTGGAAATATCGGCAGATTTATCCTATTATTTATCAATAGGCTTTCCTGGATAAACGAATTATCATTACTGGTTGACTTCCCTCTTTCTGTTCTAAAAAAGACTCCACTAAATTGTGTGTGTGTGTCTTTGCAGGTGGACCGCACTGAGCAGATTCAGAACTGCCAGGAGCCTGCATTTTCCAAGCGTCTGCAGATAGACTATTGCTTCGAGCAAGTGCAGAAGCTGCGCTTTGGTGTCTACGACATTGACAACAAAACCTATGACCTCACCGATGATGACTTCCTGGGTCAACTTGAGTGCAACTTGGCTCAGGTGGGTGCCTCTGTTGATGTTTAATGAAAAAGTCATGAATACTGTAAAAATTCTGACATGTCATTTTTCATAGTGATGCATTTCCCGATTCAAATAAGTTGATGAAATTCCACATTCTCATGGCAGATACAAGTTTATTTCCTAGGGTGGCCAGGATTGATGTTCCACAAAACTTTATTGACTTTGGAAGGAGAGAATATTGGAGAAGTTGACCCCAACTAGGATTATGACGTGTGACCTTTGCACTTGCAAGTCATGCACTCCAACCCCATCACCATCCAGCCAGATACAGCATTTATAGCCGAAACATGTTTCTCCCATCTGTTCACAAGAGTGACTGTCCCTGGAAAAAGTTTAGGGGAAATGAGCTAATCATTTGGTGAATAGTTATAAAGGCCATCTGCCTGACACTAATTCAGATGTGTCCCAATTTTCCAAGCCTTGGACCCCTTCGATTAATCTGTTTGTTGTGGTGCTCACGAACAGCAGTTTACCATGCTAACAAGTGGATTTTTTTTTGTATGTCATCCAACCTGTGTGTGTGCTTGCACTGAAATAGTTAGCACCTTGCACTACAATCTTAGCCACCTGAGTTAAATTCCAAGCCATGCACGTCATTGGCATTCGATATTTGAACTCTTCTTGCCGATCCTTAATGAGTCCACCAGACGAAGGTTGAGATGACACAACTCCTCTTTATTTTCCGCACAAGCTGACACTGTATGTGGCCACTCCACTTCAAATCCCACCAGGAAGCACCCCGATCACCCCGCCTCATCCGGTGATGTCACCACCCCCCTCCTGGGCATTCCCTGTCTCTCACGTGCCCCGCATTCTCTTTGCTTTCGTTCGTGACGTAATCTTTAACAGTAACCTGGGACCCTTGGGTATTTCTATCCCAGGATCGCGTGAGTATTGACACTACACTTACATTTGTTAGTTCAGCCTTAAAAAAATACGTGATGCAATGAGTGACCATTACCACTGCAGAGACAAAGGTGGCGTAGTGTGGTGCTAACCCAACCACCCCTTGTATGTCATCCAACCTGGAATATATTCGTGCACTTTGGCCTACAAGACCAGACAAGGGTTCTTATTGGTGTTTGTGTGCACTCTGAGCCATAGTGTGGAGCAGGGCTGAACGATTTCGGGAAAATATCTATTTGTGAATTTTCTGACAGATATTGCAATTGCGATTTGCTTTGCGATAAACATTTTTTTAAGTCAAGCTTCAGTTCAATATTCACTGTGTAATAGATTTAAAACAAGTGATGGAGCATTACCACATTATACCATCAAAATATTAACTGCTCTATATATTCTAATGCAAGGATGAGAGCTTAAAAGATATGAATTGCTTCCAACATGTATGTATTTAAATACTTTAATTGAAATATAATAATCAAACATAGAACAATTGTTAAGTTAAATAAATAAAGTTATAATAATAAAAATAAAACAATTCCAATAAGAAAGTAATATAACTTTTCAAATCGCAAAACATCGCAGCCTTTACGATTTGCTAATCGCACTGTTTCAAATTGGGATTTAGATTTGAAATCGATTAATCGTTCAGCCCAAGTGTGGAGTCGTTAACAAACATCGCTGCAAAACTGACGAGCCGAGTTCAAGTCCCTCTCAGCCAAAAACCAGTAACTATTGTCTGAACCGATCTTGCCCCTCTCGAGGTTGACTCAGCCTTAAAAAGGTACCTGGTGCAATATATAAACATCATCACTAGGGATACAAAGGCAGCCGGGCATTGTGCTGGACACCCACCCCCTTCTTGTGCCACCCTTCGTAGGTTCTCGCTAACAGCACTTACCTCAACATTATATTAAGGCTATACGGGGGATCTTTGTCTTTACACTCTGAGCAGGTTGTGTCGAGTAAGAAGATGACTCGCCCCCTTCTGCTGAAAAACGGCAAGCCGGCGGGAAAGGGCCAGATCACAGTAAGTGGTTGTCCACGCACCACCAAGCAAGATCACGTGCGGAGATCCCGTACATCGATTTGTGGGCCAGCTTAAAACCAATTGCCTTGTGAGCTATCATTGGAGGGTCTGACAGGTCCTTCATTACCATTGTTTGACCTAATATTCCAGCGTCAACACAGATTTGTTGTATTTTAAAACTATTGTATATGAACATGATGCCCCAATTGCTCGTATGACATCCTCCAGTGAGTTTCTGTAATGATTAGTTTGAACACTGAGCATAGAGCTGCTTTCTTCCTTGTTATCGTTACCGACACTTGCATTAATTTGTAGAATAGCAATGTTACATCGAATTAACATAATTTATTGTCAAGTTTAACCATCTTAGATTGCAATATCTGTTCATTGGATTTTGTATGAATGTTTTAAAAATCAGAATAACTTGGTCTGTTAATTATAAAAAAAGCATTCACCCTTGCGGTTTCATTGTCACAATTAAATGTCATGATTAAATTCACAAATATTTTTATAATTTTCACGTATCTGTCTGATTATGATTCAGTAGTGTACATGTAGTATTTGCATGTGATTGCAATAATTTGTAAATAATAGATGTTACTTGCACGATTCTATGCATTTATCGCGAGCATAAGAATTTATTTCAATTGATTAATTAATTAATTGATTGATTGATCTTCACGTCCTTACATACCTATTACCAAGGTTGGATACATACGGTGCAAATAAGTTCAACATACATACTACATTTGTATCATTATTACTAGATTTCCCATTTACAAAAATGGTGAGTTTGGCATATGTAATTATCTCTTTATTTACATTGTTTTTTAGATTGTGGCAGATGAGATTAAGGATAACAGAGTCCTCGCTCTTCAGGTGGATGCTCGTAACCTGGATAAGAAGGTGCGTCGCTTCAATATAATTCACCCAATCAATGGGCTGTGCAGGCGATCGTTTTCCAGAAATATTTGTTTAAATGAGACAAACTCTTGGCTGGTTCTGATGTCTCCAAGTTTCTTCTGCAACCGCAAGCCAAAATGTGTAATCCTAAGTGCTGGATGATGGTGAATTGAAGTCACAACCTAAGTTTAATAATGATGACTTTTAGGTTGTCAGTGTCCCTGATGTAGTATTAATCCCCTAAGGGCTCGGAGCTACTTAATAGTTGCATGATAGTTAATGTGTGCAGATGTCATCATGACTAATACTGCAGTGATGTGCTGAATTTATAGTAGTGCACTGTCATGATTGACTACATTTATAATTGTATATTACAGGGGTGCACTGCATACGTACATACATACACATATTTACTTCATCGTTGTATCAGTGTCAGATGAACGTGCATTGTTTATACAGGATATGTTCGGGAAGTCTGACCCATACCTGGAGTTTTTCAAGATGGCGGATGATGGCACCTGGCAGATGGTGCACCGGACAGAGGTAAGGGCGACGTCGTGCATCAGGAAAACCTCCGTCCCTGAGTTTGAATCGTCAGACTAAGGCAGTGTTCTTCATCGCAAGGGCCGCAGGCCACTGGCTGCCCCTTGGTGGCCTTTAGTCCGGCCCCTGACGTGCGGCCCACCGACAGTCCACAACGTCTGGAAACACCCCTTGCAAGCGGTGGTCCTCACACTCATATGATGTCTTATCGGCGAAAGTTGCCCCCCTCTGAAAAATTAGTGAAGAACACTGGACTAAGCGGCTGGGCACTTTAGCAACCGACACATTCATCGTTGAGCCTTTTTACAGCGTTCTCATTGCAATTTGGCCATTGAAATTAAAAATCTAAACATCCCGTGACATTCCTCACAAAAGTATAATTTTTGTGTTCTCTCGGCTCAAATCACATTTTAAAATCACCTCCCTGTCCGTATCCTCTGGATTACAAGATGCGCAGTTTTTTTTTTTAAGTAAAAGGGGTTGCAATCCGGCGCATCTTACGATCCGATAGGTTTGTGTGCATGACCAGACTTGCATAACTTTGTTGACACCGGGCTCAAGTTTTGGGTGCGTCTTACTTGCCAGAGCGTCTCTTAATCAAAAGTGTTAAATTAAGCTTACGGTCAAGTTAACAACTGGAGGTAAAATAACATATAACGCTGCATGATTATTCAGGTCTTTAGCAAAGATGACAGTGAATTTCATTTAAATATCTTTGCATTGAACAAAGCCTATTTATCCATGAAGGTAATGCCATCATTCATATTTGTCTTCGTGTAACAACAGTGCATCATAATGTTAGTGTTTCCCATTGCCTGTGGTACCTCTTGAATGTCAGCTGTCATTCACAGGTTATCAAGAACAACTTGAATCCCACATGGAGACCATTCAGCATCCCTCTGCAGGCGCTCTGTAACGGGGACCTGGAGAGAGACGTCAGGGTGCGTGACCTTGCTGTCATATAATGAATGTAGAGCATTGCTGGGACCACATCATGCCTGTACAGGCCTTTTGTTGATGCACTGCTGGACGAGTGTATCCCCCCGCTCTGTGGGTTGTGGGCTTTATTTGACTACACATTACCACGAGGGTTAGTGAAGACAGGGAGTATAGACGTAGAATGGTACACAAATATATTTTTTCTACACTGCCCTCTAAACTAAACTAAACCATTTTTTTTTTATTTTACCAAAAAAAGCCCACTGAACTATGTAGCTCTTTTTCAGAAGCGACCTGGCCACAAATGATAGCTCAACGAAGTGGCTTATCACGTGGAAATGTATTGCAGCCAAATACTCTAAACGCACGTTTCTAAATGTGGTGGGAAAAAACTGGAGGACCCTGACAAAAATGCCCACGACCACGGTGAGAACATGCAAACTCCAAATATGCAGGCGTCTAGAGTCGGGATCGAACCCACAACCCTCCTGTATACCAGGCGAGGTAGTTAACATCTCACCAAAACTCATAAAGGCTTCCTCAGTAAATAGATTGACTTATTTCTTCGTTATGTTGACTTCCCACAATGTGTTGTTACTCATTTTATCATTACTATAAGGACGACAGGCTTCGGAAATCCCAGACCAGGATTTAAACTTAAAACCTTGCAATTGCGAATTGGGCACCCTTACAATAGCCCCACTCGACCGGACATTGTACTGTACGAGTGCTTTATTGTCAAGGCTTATTATGCTCATTCCCTGGTGCACCACTTTTCTCCTCCTGTCCCACATTCAGCTGTCTGCATTCAAATGCAAACGATGTCATTTAACATTACAAACGATGACAAAGAATGGGGACAGGGGGAGGGTTATTGGTAAGAGGCTTCTTATCGTGAAGTGGTGAAATTGCCAACACAATAAAAGTAAAATTCTCCATTGCATTATGCTGCAAATGGAAGGATTTTGCTGATGATGTAGACACCCACACTTTACCCCACCAGGGTCAGATATTCTTTCCAACTGATGCATTTAAATGAGAATTAACTGTTACGAACATTTTGAAACTGCATGGCTTAAGCGTTGGTGAAACTAATCTGGCTTTTCAAAGTGGTATCTCACATTTGTAATCTGTAGCCAGTATGTGGGTTTTCCCCAGGTTTCCATAATTTCCTCCCATTCGCAAGCACTCCTTGAGAAAGAACTCATTCCAACGCATGACCCTACAATCCTGAAACTCAGCGAGGCTGTCCCAGGTTAATTAATAACAAAATAATAGAACTGAAAAGCAATCCTAATGTTGTTAGGTCTGTGGTGTTTGTTTTGTGCCACTGTGACATGGCTCAGCGGTAACGCGCCTGCCACAGGTTGCAGAGGTTAGCTTCGTGGTTCGAGCCCAGCAGCCGTCCTGGTTAACACTGTGGGTTTATTAATCACCCTGATGCTATTCGATAGGCCACATGTGCTGGCATCACGGTCCAAATTTCCCAACTTGAAAAATTGCCCATAAATTACTCAATTTGGTAAAATCCACACAGCAACATCGCATCCTTCTGTGAAAGCAATTCACACTGTAATTTTCCATGTAGCAGAATGTCTCTGTGATAGCCTTGAACTCTAAGAATGGTGCAATTACCAAATGTACTTTTTATTAAATTTTTATTGTGTGTAAATGGATCTCTGGTGTTAGTGACATATTGCCAATTTTGTTTTGTTTATCCAGATGAGTCTCATTTGCAAGTTGTGACCTGGGTCACTAAAATGACACGAGCAAAACCAAGTACAACAATGAAATATACCAAAACAAAATCTAAAAAGCAAAAACGCTATCACAGGAATTGAAAATATTGCAAACGTTAAGTCGATGTAAATCGATCAATATTCAGAACCTATAAATCAGCACCTCCGATTATCACGGTTGCCTACGTACGGTGATACAATATGCTGTCCGTTCAATGCAGGTCGTCTGTTACGACTACGACAGCGATGGCTCCCACGACCTCATTGGCGAGTTCAAGACCAACGTCAAGAATCTCCAGCAGGCGGAGAAGGGGCAGGTGGGTTTCGGCCATGCCGCGTCACGCGCGTCGATCCTCGGAGGGGAGAAGGTCGCCTCGCTCCCGAACGGAGAGGGTTAATGACGCGCCGTTGGACGTCATTGGCTGCGCTGTTGCGCAAAGCGACGGATCTGATCGCGACCTCGCCCCCCCCCCTTCGCCCTCCCCCCCCCCCCTCCTGGCTGCACCACGCAGGTGGAGTTTGCCGTCATTCACCCCGAGAAGAAGAAGAAAAAGAAGAACTACAAGGGCTCGGGCTTGGTCATCGTCAAGTCGTGCCGGGTACGTGCACGTCCTCTCCCAACTGACCTCAGTGCTGGCCCTGTACAAATTCAACTCTTTGTTTATTCGTAGCTTTGGCCAGATACATGACCCGAACCCAGTGAAATCTGATTTTATTCTAACCCAGTGAAAACTAAATCTACTCAAACATTAACCTTGGCCCTGTTCATTGCCCCCTAACCTGGTACAAACCTGACCCCAACCAAATTCTAGCTGAACCTTTCCTTAGACTTAAGAAAAAAAAACTTCGCTACCATCTAACACTATCGAAATTTACCATAGCACCAACCGCTTCCCTAGCTATATTACTCACCATAACCTAATCATAGACTTTATCCTTTACTTCATAACTTTAATGCTAACCCAGTCCAAACTACCTATAGCCGTATCCATAACCATAGCTTCGCCTTTGCCATGTGCCATGGTCATACTGACAGAAAGGTGTTAACATGGTACTCTCCGAATTCCACAGACAGAAGTTGAATATTCATTCCTGGATTACATCATGGGTGGCTGTCAGATCAATTTCACGGTGAGATGCGTTGTGTTTGTGTGAGCGTTGTGCATTTTTTGTCTCAAGAGCATTGGTGTATGCAAAACATTTTCACTCCTATGAAGTTTTGATGAACTTCAATTGCATCTAAAATAATGAAGAACAAACTTGTCAACAGCTCATCTCCTTGTTCAGCAGGTATCTATATATGTAAAAGGGAAATTTGTGAATATGTGTGTCTGTTCGAAATGTTTAGCATACTCCCCAACATGCAACAAACTTGAAATTTGGCATTTGGGTAGCTTCCAGGCTGTACACAATGCAAAACGTATAAAATAATGGATATATTTTGCACGGCAAGTGAGCGGTGACATCACATGTGTGATGTCACCCGCATGCGGCAGCGTCACGCAGTGTGCCTGCTGACGTCACGTATCCCCCCCCCACCCCCACCCACCGCGTAGGCCGTGTATTAATCCAAAACAAGAATACAAGTTTTGATTTAAAGCTTTCGTGACTGCAGGGATTCATATTCTTTGCTCTTTCGGTAAAGTCACGTAGAAGGGAAACAGTAAAATAATACAAATATAAAACAATATTTAAGAATACAAGTCTCGGGCGAAGCCGGGTAGTAAAGGGAGTGGCTGATAAAGCTTCAGCGCGTACATTTCACCAAATGAGTCGGTAGGAAAAGTCCCCCCCCACCCCCTTGTGCCGCTGCACCAGGTGGGCATCGACTTCACGGGGTCAAACGGCGACCCGAGGTCACCGGACTCGCTTCACTTCCTGAGTCCCAGCGGCGTGAACGAGTACCTGACGGCGCTGTGGTCGATTGGCGACGTCATCCAGGACTATGACTCGTGAGGCTGCAGCCGCTGCACCCGGCCACTCGCGGACGCGGCGCGAAACGGGGGGGGGAGGGGGGGGGGTGGGGGTGGTGGCGGGGGGCCCGCGGCGCTCGGCGGCGCGTTCGATACGTAGCAGTCGCCGTCTAAAGTAACGTCGGCGTCGTCGTCGTCGTCGGTGGTGGTGGTGGTGGCGGCGTTTGCCCGTGAAGGAATCGGGGCCCCCATCTCACACGAGCTGTGAAGCTAAGCATAGGTAGATAGAGGGCTGGTTAGTACCTACACGGAAGACTGCATAGGAATGCGTCAGGTGTTACAGGCTTGGGGTGTGTGGTGGCCAGAAGATGGCAGTGCAACAGTGAGTTATTGAATTTAGCTGTGGGGAACGGTGAGTGTTGCTCTGCGTGTTATGGCTCGGACAAGATTGAGTTTATTCAGGATGATATAAGCACAATGCACATCACATTGTGGGAAGTCAGCAATGGCCATAGGAAAGTGTAATTTCCACCCCTGATTCAAGCCAAAAATAGAGATGACTGCTCTTCCATGCTCGATTGCGTATTGGGACATAAACGTGATTCTCCAGCAGCACCAGTAGCAAGATCAACATTACATTTCCATTGTTTCAGCATTTGCATTGGAATAGACATCATGATAGGTGTTCCTAGCTATCTTCATGACTGTCAGTGTACCCATTGGCATCTGCACCACACTAACGGAATTCCTGCAACCACCACCATAACTATTTTGTCCATTAATATGTTCTGCTCGTGCCAGAATCATCTATTCAGTTCTTTATTTTTCTATTTCAAGGTCAGCTCTAAGATCTTGTCTTACCTTAGGTGACATTCACCGCATTAATCTCCTCACTCTGCACATACCGTGGCCCCTGCTCCCACTCAATAATGCATTGAGTTCATTTAATGGAATAAAATCCCACCACCTCCAGTGAAGAGGATGTGCTGTCAGCTGGGTCACAGATATTAAATGTCCAACAGCACAAGGATGAACTATTCCACCGATGCCCCACATAGATGTGACCCAGAATTAACTTGGCAGCTAGACAAAAATTCCCTGTACATGTTCCTCTTCAAATATATTGTTGTGTTTCAACCGTAGCTTTAAATTGCATTATAATGAATTTAGAGGTGCAGTGGAACTCATTAAAATTCATACGCTGCGGTATTGACTGGATGAAATAAAAATACAAAAATACCCAGATCATTTTGCATGCGGGAAATGGCTTGGTTTTGTCCATGAGCATTGGCATTCATGCATTGCAAATGTTAATCACCATTGTCACTTTGCCCTTTATAACTAGGTGAAAGCCCATGACACCATAATTCCCTTGTTTAAGAAAGGCGTGGGTTAATAAACAAGCACAACGATAACGGCGACACAATGTACGTAGCATCTAAATACAGCAGCGGCACCCCCAAGACGCCGTATGGCAGTGAGGGACAAAGCCGAGAAAGAAGGTGACGTAAAGCAAGGTGGAAAGGGAAGCGAGCAACATGGGAGGGCGGGGAGGTACACGTGGGAGAGTAAGGAGGAGCAATGGCAGTTCTGGCTATCGCCTGATGAGGCTTGTTGCGATTACTGCCGAAACGTCGTGCTCATTGTAAACGGTGTGGGTTTACTCCCCCACACACCGGTGTGCTAAATTCGTAGCTAATTGGCATGTTTTGTTTACGTGACAAACATTACTAATTGGCTGTGTCGGGTGGTGGGCTTAAAGACACATTTACGCGATCTAACCCAAAAAAAACCTGGATAATATTGGTCGAGAAAGCCTGCTACAGTGAGGGGAAAAAAGTATTTGATCCCCTGCTGATTTGTACGTTTGCCCACTGACAAAGAAATTATCAGTCTATAATTTTAATGGTAGGTTTATTTGAACAGTGAGAGACAGAATAACAACAAAAAAATCCAGAAAAACGCATGTCAAAAATGTTCTAAATTGATTTGCATTTTAATGAGGGAAATAAGTATTTTACCCGCTCTCAATCAGACAGATTTCTGGTTCCCAGGTGTCTTTTATACAGGTAACGAGCTGAGATTAGGAGCACACTCTTAAAGGGAGTGTTCCTAATCTCAGCTTGTTACCTGTATAAAAGACACCTGTCCACAGAAGCAATCAATTAATCAGATTCCAAACTCTCCACCATGGCCAAAACCAAAGAGATCTCCAAGGATGTCAGGGATAAGATTGTAGACCTACACAAGGCTGGAATGGGCTACAAGACCATTGCCAAGCAGCTTGGTGAGAAGGTGACAACAGTTGGTGCGATTATTCGCAAATGGAAGAAACACAAAAGAACTGTCAATCTCCCTCGGCCTGGGGCTCCATGCAAGATCTCACCTCGTGGAGTTGCAATGATCATGAGAACGGTGAGGAATCAGCCTAGAACTACACGGGAGGATCTTGTCAATGATCTCAAGGCAGCTGGGATCATAGTCACCAAGAAAACAATTGGTAACACACTACCCCGTGAAGGACTGAAATCCTGCAGCGCCCGCAACGTCCCCCTGCTCAAGAAAGCACATATACATACCCTGCTGAAGTTTGCCAATGAACATCTGAATGATTCAGAGGACAACTGGGTGAAAGTGTTGTGGTCAGATGAGACCAAAATGGAGCTCTTTGGCATCAACTCAACTCACCGTGTTTAGAGGAGGAGGAATGCTGCCTATGACCCCAAGAACACCATCCCCACAATGACCCAAACACACGGCAAAGGCAACAAAGGAGTAGCTCAAGAAGAAGCACATTAAGGTCCTGGAGTGGCCTAGCCAGTCTCCAGACCTTAATCCCATAGAAAATCTGTGGAGGGAGCTGAAGGTTCGAGTTGCCAAACGTCAGCCTCGAAACCTATGACCCCAAGAACACCATCCCCACCGTCAAACATGGAGGTGGAAACATTATGCTTTGGTGGTGTTTTTCTGCTAAGGGGACAGGACAACTTCACCGCATCAAAGGGACGATGGACGGGGCCATGTACCGTCAAATCTTGGATGAGAGCCTCCTTCCCTCAGCCAGAGCATTGAAAATGGGTCGTGGATGGGTTTTCCAGCATGACAATGACCCACAACACACGGCCAAGGCAACAAAGGAGTGGCTCAAGAAGCAGCACATTAAGGTCCTGGAGTGGCCTAGCCAGTCGCCAGACCTTAATCCCATAGAAAATCTGTGGAGGGAGCTGAAGGTTCGAGTTGCCAAACGTCAGCCTCGAAACCTTAATGACTTGGAGAAGATCTGCAAAGAGGAGTGGGACAAAATTCCTCCTGAGATGTGTGCAAAACTGGTGGCCAACTCCAAGAAACGTCTGACCTCTGTGATTGCCAACAAGGGTTTTGCCACCAAGTACTAAGTCATGTTTTGCAGAGGGGTCAAATACTTATTTCCCTCATTAAAATGCAAATCAATTTATAACATTTTTGACATGTGTTTTTCTGGATTTTTGTTGTTGTTATTCTGTCTCTCACTGTTCAAATAAACCTACCATTAAAATTATAGACTGATCATTTTTCAGTGGGCAAACGTACAAAATCAGCAGGGGATCAAATACTTTTTCCCTCACTGTACTGTGTTAAAAGGGGCAATGCTGTGGTGTGATCCAGGGCCAACGGGGGACCATGCCCACGGGCACGGGGGGGGGGGGGGGCTGTAGGGACCCAGCAACAAGGAGTCCCAATGGTGCATGGGCAGCTAGGGATTGGTGTCTTTGATTTGTTTGCACTGTGCACACCCAAAGTGACTAAATAAATACTGCAATCAAACAATTAAATCCACCAACAAAGGGGGATGAATTGGAAGGCATTTGCTTGATTGTACTACCCACTATATCCCTTTTGGATCCATGCAAATTCAACCCCGTTGAAGCTTGGAGAGCTGAATGGAGTTCAAAAGAACTCTCAAACAAACACCTTTGGAAAGATCCAACACAGAAGATCCCTGAATTTGATCTTCCACGAAGCTCATGGTCCACCCTAAACCCGCATCCACCACACAAACCGCGGCAGATGCCCCTTTCACAAACGTAAAATTAAAAACTCTCCCAGTTTGCGACTGTGGTCATCCAAAACACAACCATACAACATATAACGACGTCATTCCCAATCCACAAATACGAAGGAGACATCACAGCGATACACACAAAAAAAACGTATTTATTTTAAATGTAATATCACCTCCACTCAAGGGGGTATAAAAAAAATTGTACACTAAAATGAAATGCAAGGACAATAAAATCATGTTCAAATAAAAGCCATGAGAAAATCGTGAGTCTTGCACTGCCTCCTAAACACACCGAGGCTTGTAGCGTGCCGGATCACCGCCGGCAAGGCATTTCAGATCCTTGGGGCAACACTTGAGAAGGCCTGACCCCCCAGCGGCGAGCACAAAAGCCGAGGCCGGGAGAGTAGGTCCTGCTCTGAAGGGCGTAGTGGTTATCCGGCTTGACCACCTGAATGTGAAATCGTAACTGTTGCTCTTTATCTACATCCGCCGTACAAAAGAAGGAGAGACTGTCAGACGATAGGCTACAATTTTCTGTACCCTTCGCACTGAGGGGACTGCATTTGCACGACTGTTTATCTTAATTTACTGAGCTAGGGAGGGCCTCAGCTGCGTGCTTCGCTGTCTTTGCGCATGTTGGGCTGAGCCTGGTGGTTGTATTTCTTTTACAGGGATAAGCTCTTCCCTGCCTTTGGGTTTGGGGCACAGATCCCTCCAAACTGGCAGGTAAAGAGTTTGGAAGATACGCGTGAATTTTCTTTGATCGTTCGCTCTTGTCTAAATCCATTAGTGTGCTGTTACGTGTTTTTCCTACGCTTCATGAACGGTTTATTTTATCGAATTGTATCAGTTTTATATTATAATGACTGTTAGATGGTTCAAAATTGCTGCTGTCCCCTGTTGGCTGTGTGCACGCTTAAATCTTGATCTTGTTTCCTCTCCCAGGTTTCACATGAATTTCCACTGAACTTCAATCCAGCAAACCCATACTGCAACGGTAATGTGCATTGAGTGGGCACTAAAAGTCATGAATTCAGCTAAACATTGCCCCCTGAAACAGGTTTCTCAACTCCAGTCTTCCCGACTTCCCAATGATACCCCGCCAGCTTTCTGCGCTTACTAACCGTCGGGTGCATCCCGTGAGCAGTGGGACTGAATTTGTAGATGAATATAAAAGATTTGGTAATCGTGAACGGTGGACCATGTGTCTCATCGCGCTCGTGTCCCCCCCCCCCCAACTGTTGCACCGCGATTACTGGTGTGGCAGGCGTGCAGGGCATTGTGGACATGTATAAGGTGTGCCTGCCCCAGGTGCGCCTCTACGGCCCCACCAACTTCTCCCCGATCATCAACCACGTCGCGCGATTCGCCGCTGCCGCCCTCCAGCAGCCCGCCGCCACGGTGAGGCAACCCGGCGGCTGCCAGGCTCACGGGCGGTGGTCCGAATCGTAAAGTGTCCGTGCAGTGTGGCGTGCTTACGTTTTCAAAACGATTCATGGTAAAGTCACCCATGCGGTCCTCCTCTGCTGGTGAGCCACAGATGCGCGCGTGATTATTCGTGTTCATCTGCATCCACGCACGTTCACGTGCTTACGTACACACGTTCGTGTAACCAGGGTTCAATTCACGGTCGTGGGTAATCTCGATGGCAAGCAATGTCTGAACCAGTCCTAGTCCTGCCCTCATTTGTCTCTGCCTTAAATGAGAGCCTGGCACACTGTGTGTAAACGTCAGCACTGGGGATACATTGGAAGCCAGGCGTGGCGCTCTTTCAGCCTTGGTAAGCGCCTGCCAACACCACTCGTACCTCCAGCCTGTAAGGCTGAATGAGAGACCTTTGCATCCGTGTTTGTGTGCGTATATATAGTGTGTAAGTGTTTTGTTATAGGGTAGTGTTGTCTTCATGGTTATTGCATTGAGATACTATCTCGGTAACCCAGACTGCACCAGCCTAAATAGCTGCACGCTAAGAGCACTAATTAATTAAAAGCTACATGGGGGGTCTTGGTGCGTGTGCACGTGTGTGTGTGTGTGCGCGGCAGCAGTACTTTGTGCTGCTCATCGTGACGGACGGCGTGATCAGCGACATGGATGAGACGCGCCTCGCCGTGGTGCAGGCCTCCCGGCTGCCCATGTCCCTCATCATCGTGGGCGTGGGCAACGCCGACTTCTCCGCCATGGAGTTCCTGGACGGCGACGGCGGCGTCCTCAAGGCGCCCTCGGGCGAGCCGGCCGCCCGCGACATCGTGCAGTTTGTGCCGTTCCGCGACTTCCGCAACGTGAGCCTTGTAACCCCCCTCCCCCTCTCGCGCGAGTGGGAAGGACGAGTGACCACTTCGCCACGTGTTTATTAGAGGAGATCAAACGGAAAGCTTGCTCTTCTGAGTCAGAAGTCATGCCATTGCATGGAGGAGCAGTGGCGCAGCAGTTGACGCTCTGCGCTACCAACCCTGTGACCTGAGTTCCGTTCCTGCTCACGACTACCAACACCAGTGACGATTATCAGGACCGGTCCTGGGCCTCAAATTAGTACCTTATGTGGTGTGTAAACATCACCACTGGGGAGACAAAGGCGGTCAGGTGTGGTGCTGGCTACCCACCCCCTCATGTACCGTGCTGGCCTAAATAGGTGCTCGCTAACAGCACTTGCCCCAAAAATTTGTTAAGGCTATATGTGAAATTTTATACAATAACAGATAAATTATTGAAATCCAAGGCATCGCAACTTCTCAGAGTACAATTCATGCTACACTTTGTTCATGATACTTTTTTTTTATAAACATAACCAAGCAAAAGTTGCCCGCATTTTGATGCTCAGTGCTGAATAAGTAAGGGGGGGGGGGCTTGCTTTGACCGACTGGGTCTGCTGTTTTGTTTCCTGGTTTGCTTCCTCAGGCACCCAAGGAGGCACTGGCCAGGAGCGTCCTGGCTGAGGTTCCCCGGCAAGTGACGACGTATTTCAAACAGAGGGGTCTGCCCCCTCCGAATGTCGCACGACCCTAAGTTGACCGCGTGGCCGAGTGATTGCGGAGGATGAGATGAGCCCCCCTTGAGCTTTGTGGGGTGATCTTGGGTGGAGAAACCGTGCCATATAAGACCTTGCGAGGTGGAGCTGGAGGCATGAGTCAGTGTTTTTTCTTCTTTGGTTCTTTCGGTAAAGTCACGTAGAATGAGAATAAAATAATTAAATAAAATAACACAATTACATTCTCACGACGTTTCGGCCTTCTTCAGGTGAAAGGAACAAACCTGTCGGGATGACAGAGCTTCAATGTCGTCCGACACGTTTCTTCCTTTCAGGGTTGTTCCTTTCACCTGAAGAAGGCCACTTGTGTTGTGGCAGAAACGTCGTGAGAATTTTATTGTGTATTTTTTTTTATTATTTTATTCTCATTCTACGTGACTTTACCGAAAGAACCAAAGAAGATGAATCCTTGCAGTCACGAAAGCTTTAAATCGAAATTCAAAGTGTTTTTCTTACAATATTCCGTTAATTCTGGTAGGCTCACTTCTCAAATACCCAAGTCAAAAAACAAACGCTGCAGATCTTATTCTTAGTTTTTTCGGTAAAGTCACGTTGAAGAGAAACAACAAAATAATAAAATATATATAAACAGATCTTGTTGTTAGTGCAGCTATGCTGCTGCGTGTAAACATACTATTTTTTCTTTTTAGTCAATTCTTACTCTGTGGATTTAATTTAGTCAACGTTTTACTTTAATGATGAAAAAAACCCATGACGGATGCGGATACCTGACGCACAAATGAAAAATGTAAAACTCTGCAGTGTGCGCCTGTGATTATCCAGAGCAGACCGTACAACATATGAACCTGGTGGTACCCCGGCTCTCGCACAATGTCCGTGATGCAGTCACTTTTAATCTGTTGATGGTCGGCGATGCGGCAATCGACTCATCTCGACGAGCTGTACACGATGCAATATTCAAAGTTGAATTTTTCGATAACAGATTTTGTTATGCTGATGTTTGGCGTTTTGACATCGTGGAGTGTGGCACTGATTTCGGATTGATTGGTACCCCAGTCGCGGAGTTAAGTAACACCCCTGGAAAAAATAGTGTCCCAGAAATAAAATATTTAATTGCCTCGGCCATTTTGTATTATTTGGTACCCCGAGGTACCGCCATAAGGATCATATAACGACGCAGTGCCCCGATCCACAAATACGAAGGAGACATCCCAGCGATTACACTACTCCTGACGTGGCTATTCGGCTTGACCACCTCAATGTGAAATTGTAGATGCTCTGCATCTACATCAGCTGTACGGAAGAAGAAGAATGAGGAAACAAAATCCACAGACGAAGACTTGAGTCAAATCCCGCAAGTTGTCGGCAACTGGACTAACACTAAAATGCTGACTAAATAAACACTGCTCGGCCGTGTGTCCTGGACTGTCCGGCACGATCGCTGTGACGTCGTCGTTGTCTTCATGTTGGCAACGTGCCCTCCTGACCTTAGCGAGGGTTATTCATCTATATTCGGGGTTTACATTCATGTCGGACAACCCAGGGCATAGATCCTGGGGGCTCCATATCTACAAGAAAATAGATATTTGTGTTTTTTTTTTGGGTTGTGTCGAAATGGTTTTCAGGTTACCGTTTTATGATTGTCAAATTCCTTTGGGCAGCTGTAAGACCGGCGTGTGTGTCAGACCTGCGTGTGTGTGTACGAGTCAAAGTCCATGTACTCTCTCTGTTCAACTGAGCACTGGGCGATGCCCGTGTTCTTTGCTGGCGCCGACCCATAGGTGGGAACATCACATTCTTACGTGATGCCCAGTCTCTCTGTAGGACAACAACTGATGACTTCCAACTAAGTGGTGCCGATTAAATTGTGTCTGCGCAGTATATTTAGTTGAATTTTTTAACATGTGTAATTAAGGAGAGGTGATAATTGCTTATGACACTCATACAGAATGCATGCATTTTCATAAAATCTCAGAAGCTAAGCAGGTTTGATCCTAAAATGTGCTTGGATGGGTGATCAACACTATGCATAAAACAGGTGCTGTAGGATGTTGCAGTGGGGCTGTTGTCAAAATAGGGCAGTGTAGCAAAACCCATTGTTGTACTGCACTATTGCCCAACGTCTATTCCGCCTTTAACCCACACTGACCAGCGTGGTGAAGTACGGTCACATATAACCCCCTTGACTTGCACGGCGTGAGGAGGTCCTCATCCAGCAGTGGATTGACAAAGAGCTGTACATCAACATAATTGCTTCGGAACATAAATTATGGCTTTTAACAAAGTAGCATCCCTTGCCTTGTCTGTAGCAATTTCTCATTAGCATGCCTTCATTGTATAGCTGAAGCCATGCTTGTGGGCATGAAACCACACATGTTATGTTTACGAAATGCATATATGTAAGGTATAGTTTGCATGTTTTGAGAGCGGGATATTTTAAGGGTACAGGCATGTGCTTGATTTATTTCACTCATCATCCTCCCTCTTCATGTGATATTGTAATACGATTAGAACATGCCTATGTAAGCTTTACATGAGCATGACCAGTCCTCTCAATAGTGTGACTATCCCTTGTGTGTGTCTGTGTGTGCACACAAGCGCTTCTTTATGTATATATATATGCATGTCGTACGAACAGATTTTACAGGAACAATAATGTTGGCACATAGTAAGCCATACGTTAAAACAAACTAGTCCTAATTCATATTTTATGTGCATGCTAATTACGTGAATCGTGTAAAATGTATGCGCAACGTGATGTATAGTAAGTGCCACACTAGCTAAATATAGTAGTCCAAGCTGTAAGTGAAAATGCCATTGCCAGATCACGAGAATAATTTGTACTTTTTACATTGCAAGGCCAAAGCTATGCAATTCTACCAACTGGAATGCGAACATTATATTTCCCCCCCGTTTCATACCCACACCCAACGCAGCCTTAATCCCTACCCTGTGCCTTAGCAGGTTATCGTCAACGCAATAACGTGACCCCTGCCCTGTGCCGAACAGTTTCATGGGCTGCTTAATGGTAGGCTTGCCAAAGTGGCTCGCATGCGTGGCTTCGGAGCCATCGAATAATTGATATCTGTATCTTCTGACCCATCATCTCCTGCTTCCTGCTGATTGGCTCACCGGTGCAAATTTGGCACTCGCTGTTTGTGAAATATCTGAACGCGCACAGCATGCCTTTGCAGGGTGTGCTGGTACACGCCTGCGATCGAGGGCTCCGTAGCCACTGTTTGTGGGTAACACAGATATGTGCTGTGAGACAGACTCCCAAGTCTATCTGGCTCCATGGAGGTTAAGAAGCTATAAGTACGGCATGCAGGTTCACGATCCATATTTTCGGACAGTTAAGCACTATCCCCCTTCTACACGTGCTGGTTTTCTCCAGGGGCCCACCGTTTCCTCCCGCATCTATTATGCCCCTTTACGAAGAAGTTGGCCAAAGCTTCCAATGCTAAAATTGCTGACAGTGAGTCCTCACTCTCGGTGTATTTTGTTTTATTTGGAATGTGCTGCTTTCATCGACAGATTCCGCGTTGCTTTGTGCCTTAGAATGGATTTTTCTGCAGTGCCGTCATAATCCATGCCGCCACCTGCCCTCCTCGAGGAGACGACCTTTATTGGTCAGCTTGGTGCACTTAAATACCTCCAATTATATAATAACGTTCGGCCAATGGGAACCAACATTTGAATGTGACGATTGAAAAAAAATTTGTAAGTAAAAATTAGAATGTCAAGATAAATTTTGCTGAAATTCTCAGACCTCCATGTGGTAACCGTAGACATTGTAGATCATTATTGATTGTAAAATGGAATTATTTCATGTTAAAATAAATTAGAACTATTAAATTGACAAAGTTACATTTTCATACAGTTTTCTTAAAGCAGCCCAAGATCTCATCTTCATTTGGACCTTTGACTCTTAAAAAGATGCCGTGTGTGGCTGGTAAATGCAAAAAACAACGTAAAACAAGATAAAGCCACCCAGTTAAGGGGGTTCGTCAACTGAAGGTATAACGGTGATTATGTTCAAATAGGTAACCAGAGCCCTGGCTATTGAATTGGTTTGAGATGAAGCCAGCAGTGTTATCACATTTTCTAGAATATTAACCTTGCCCAGCCTTGATTTAGCATGGGATCCTTCTTCTGGCTCCCCTTAACGATTAAACCAAAGCACAGTGCATCCACAGCACTGCGATGCCACTTTCATTTCTGAGCCATTAAAATGAATCGTACCTTATAATGAACCGCATTGCTTCTTGTGGTCGCATTCACGTTTGAGAGCACTGACCATTGCGCTGTCAAAAATGTGGTAATTAGCCCGTAATGAGCTTCATATTTTAGTTATTTTAAACTTTTTTTTATTGAACGCTTGATATTGAAATAAAATGTATACGGCACGGTGGTTTGTGTTTTTGCTGAGTGCGCGGCTATTTGGAATTGCCTGATGTGTCTGCAGCGAGACCTTCGTTTGCCCACCAACGATTGAAGGTGCAGGAGGAGGAGGTTGTGGCGCACTGTCAAAGTGCACTGCGATGTAATGATGGTCAGAAATCGGTGGTTCGTCCACTCTACACTCACATCGGCAATGGGTAGTGCTCGTATCCAATTATTACCCTAAACCATTGGTAGAATATTCTACTTTCCAATGGCAACAGCCAGGTACTCCAGTTGACTTAGTGTGGTACTATGTATCTACGTATTATGTTTCAACCTCTGAATGATTATGACCGATTCCACCTTCCAGCCAAGATTTCTACTCGTGACCTGAGTGTGACGACTATAAATGATTACCAAAACTAGAGACAATAGCAACCAAGCTAATATACACAAGAAGCCCTTCAACTAGGGCAATGATCAACCCAATGCCAAAAAATAGAATTATGTAAAATGTTATAAGAATTAATCCTCTGTCCACAGGGCATGTGCGTCATTAGCTAATGCCTCGGCAGCTCTGGGAATTTTGCAAGGAACCCACAGCTTTGTTTTGACCTCCCTACTCTTGATCTCTGCTAGGGATGAGTTTCCTGTGATTTTAAGCCCAATTTAGAATATTTTACGGATCTCTCGGATGAATAAAAATGGTTTCATTTGAATGGTTTAAAAAAAATGTTTACAAATTGTAACAGGACACTCGATGAGAGCTTTTTATTTTAAGTAGCTTGATTCCATATATCGATTACGAAAAAAAACACGTGAACGCATTTTCTTCCATTTAAAAACATAATTGTCGGCCTTTTTGTCAAGGAGAGCCCTGATGTATGTTCATTTGCAGAAAATATTTTGGTCATTTGACTTAAAATAAAGAGTTTTCTGGCTTCGAGTTTAAGAAAACTAAAGTACTTAGAGGAAGCCCACCACACACGCGTGTGAGATACCGACACTCAACAGGGAGGCAGGGCGAGTTTGGGTATCCACTTGCTGCGCTGCAAAAGTCTTTGTCAATAACTCGCAGCCAAGCAAGTGTGGGTAATTCCACAGCTTTGTTTAGTGATCGCATGTACTGTCATGCGTCGTGCGTACCCTACTAAGGAGTGGCTGAGAAGTGTCCCTGGGTGGCAACGTGATGTTCGCACACGTACACAATCGCACATGTACACAATCACAGATGTACACAATCACACGTACACAATCGCGCATGCGGACACTAACACTAAGACCCTTCGACAAGTTGTACAGACCATTGATCGGGAAAGTGCTGTTAGCGCACATCTATTAACACCGCAATGGCACACGAGGTAGTCCATGAGCCGAGACCAGAAATGTTTTATATTTCAGTACCACTTGAGGTGGCATAATTGTAGCGGCTCTCAATATCTGCATGTGTGTCCAATAGGTGAATTATAATTATGTGATAATCATTCCAAATTAGTTATCAAATCGTGAACTCTCATCAGCCGTATGAATACAAGCTTCTCTCGCTTTACGCGGTAGATGCGTTTCAACTAAAAAAAAAGAGGTCGCACAAAGCGAAATCGCATAGCAGGCACTGCACGAGGCAGCTGTCTGTCCAGTAGCGCACACCGCACACGACGCAGTCCCACGTCCGACCACAAATTAGTGAATTCAAACCGCATAATAGAGCAATGTAGTTGTTGTTGTTGGTCTACTAAATGTGTTAGCAGCATATTTGCGAAATCGCACAAACCGAACACGCATAAAGCGAGGGAAATCTGTAAAATCTGTACTGCTGTGGTCACAATTTCTGCTCTGGCCACGTGAACTCAGGTGGCGGGGTGTGGGCCAGGTGCCACGCCCGGCCGCTTTTGTTTCCCCAGTTCCTGATGCTTACCCATGAATAGCACCAGGTCCACTACTCATTTACGGGATACACATACCGAGGTATACACACATACTTAGGGGAGGACAAAGGACCGGCTCAGACAATCGCCGATGATGTTAACCCGTTGCCGGGAACTCGAAGTAAATGCCAATAACAACAGCAGCCGTCATTCGCCACTAAGTGGCGGTGACGTCACCACGGCGCTTGTGCCAGGCTAAGTGCACTTTAGGGCCCCGTGAAGTGTCGAACGCCGGCTGGCAGGAGGTCACGGGACAGACCTAGGTGCTATAGGTTGACCGACTAAGATGGCTTGCCGATGCACCACATGTGCCCACTACTACGCCAACTCGCTGTGTTTTAGCCGCCAGGCGCTCTGCTCGTTGTTGTGAGCGTCGCTCCTCCGCCCTCCGTTGTTGCTTGGAGGGCGACTGCCTCCAGCTGCCCAGTAGCAGCAGCGTCCTTCAACGAGCCTCCTCCACAGAGGCCGATCTTGACACCGCTGAGTACCGGTCACTCCATCTCTTCTCTAGCCCGTGCCGCGCCCGTTTAGCCCCCTCGATCCAGTAATGTGAGCACACTCGCAAACACGCTCGCGACAAGCGGCATCACAATGCCATTGCTTTCCACTCTTGCCACAGGGAGAGGTTGTGGAAGTCTGTGGATATGTGAGCGCACGTGATTTAAAAAAAATAAGAATCTTTATCATAATCTCTATTTATGCTTGAGATCAGGAGGTCTTGCCATTGGCGTGCTGGTAGTGATTTGAAATCTGGAGTTATACTCCAATGCATTTTTTTGTGGTCGATGTCGTTCAGAACTATGCACGACCAACACACTTTAGCAGCCAATGAAAATACACCCAAATCCATTGGTTCTTAATTTCAAAACACAGCCAAAATGTACTAGTCGACTGCAGTTTTTAAAAGTTGTGCGCAGATGTGTGACTTTCCAAACACAGTCTGCCTCTTGGCTACACCGACCACCAGTTTTATCCAAACATGAACAATATTTCGGCCACTTTGACTAGCTTGGCCAGCCGGAATTTCCCAACGCTTCTTCAAATTTGCCCTCACCAGACGTTTGTTTGGTCTCGTTTTACCAATTCCCCGCGTTGGTCACCGTTTAAATATCCCCACCCAAATCGCCTGCCGCAAGCCCAGGTGCCTTCCCGCAGGCGACGTGCCTCGTGGAGCAACTGCACGTTTATTAAAATAGTCCAAGTTTATTATTTTGACGAGGCTATGTAAAGAAAAAACTACGCACGCATTGTATGTGCTTCGTTGCTGTGACATCGCTTAAACGTCAGACCCGTGATGTGAGCGAATTAGGAGACTTGGGTGGCTTAACACGTAGGCTTTCGCGACCAATGTCATCCATATTTTGATTTAAAGCTTTCGTGACTGCAGGGATTCATATTCTTGGTTCTTTCGGTTGCAGTCGAAACGTCGTGAGAATTTTATTGTTTTATATTTTTATTATCTTATTGTTTCCCTTCTACGTGACTTTACCGAAAGAACCAATAATATCATGCATATTGTTGCAGAGTGGAAAGCTAGGGTTTATTGGGCTAGATCACGCAAATATTTACCCGATCTAACCTTTTAAAAATCCTATATTATGGAGTATGGGATGGCTGTTGGTAGTTATCTTCTCATGTATTCTGCAGTGGTTCTCAAGCCATTTCTTTGCTGTGACACTACCACCAATCAAGACCACTCGAGTGGGACCCGCAGCATAGCAGTTAGCGCGTTGCGCTACCTATGGGGCCGCCCATAAATGACGTCACGCACCTAGGGGGGGGGGAGGGGTCAGACATTTGTGACGATGCATGACGAGGGGGCTGGAGGGGTTGAGAAATGTGACGTCACATCAAAATGCGCAACTTTAAATTAATATAGACAACACGTTCTACTTAATTATACTTTTAAATAAATGCTTTCTCCTACAACATCAGAGTGCAGCGCCACATTAAATACGCACTACAATGACAATAGTTTAAAGCGATTTGAAGCATGTTTTATATTTTTTTTGGGGGGGGGGACAGAGCTTCGTGACGTCATATTTGAGGGGGGTCTAACTTTTTGTGACGCCGTGACGAGGGGGGGGGTCAAAAAATCGTCCAAAATCGCGTGACGTCATTTATGGACGGCCCCCTACAGAGTTCCATTCCCGCTCACCGCCAACATCATTGACGAATATCCGAACCGGTTCTTTGCCTCCCCTGGGTCGAGGACTCAGCCTTGCGTGGTTGTGATGTGTAAACATCAGCACTGGAAGACAAAGGCGGCCGGGACGTGATGTGAGCCATACCGCACCCTCGTGTGCCGTTCCGGCCTTCACAGGTGCTCACGAACAACACTTACCCCAACAGCCTTTTAAGGCTACAGCACGGGAGCTCTTTGCACACATGTGCGTGAGACTGTGCTGGTGTGATTTTGCCTGGGTAAACAAGCATAATAAGCGTGAGAGGGAAATGTCTCCTGCACGTAAATCACAAACTCCATGAACCAATCGGACACTGTTTTATTTTTAAATACATGTTCCAGATGAAGCACCCCCCCTCCCCTAGATGCATGGAGTTTGACCAAAACCTTCTCATGCTGGTCAGTGTGGATTACCGAAGTTGGGGGAGGGGAACTAGAGCCCGCACACAAATGATGTTTCATAAATGCAATAACCACTTTTAATCCACGTACCGTTACACCACCACGAGCCTTAACTATTATCGAGGAATGTGTCCAACCCACCCAAAATAGGCCTGCCTCAATAAGTGCCATTGTGTCGACATGTTAACTACCTCACCTGGTATACAGGAGGTTCATGGGTTCGATCCCGACCCTGATGCCTGCTGTATATTTGGAGTTTGCATATTCTCCCCGTGGTCGTGTGGATTTGTTTCGGTCCTCTGTTTTTTCCCCCTCCACATTTAGAATCAACGTGCGTTTAATGTATTTAGCTGCTATAAATTTCCACTTGATAAACCACTTCGTTGATGTATCATTTGTGAATGCCAAGTCACCTGTGAAAAAGAGCTATATATCAGCTCAGTGGGGCCTTACCTGGTAAAATAAAATAAAAAGTTCATAGTTTTATAGAGTGTCCTTTGATAAACCTCATTTAACACCGAGCTGGACTATGCCGCGTTTGCAACGCTACCACTGCGCGTGATGCAATCTGCCCTGCTACAGGCGACAGTGGGAGGGAGGTTCATGTTTTTAAATGTAAACAGGATCGACAGGAGTGGCGACAGCCAGCTTCATACGGCAGGGATAAATGCCCCATGACAAGGCTTCACGTCAAGAAACATCCACTGAAAACATACGCAGACACGTTAATCCATTTATTTACAACATCCACACGGCCGTTTAAAATTCATCGTTAAGCTTACTAAGAACAGCTAGGCACAGGACATTCCATGGCACTGGACCGCTCTGGGGCAGCATCTGATGCCAATGCAACAATACTATACAAAAGGAGCAAATACTGTCACTGCAGTTTTCTGCGAGACAAACTTGTCTTTTGCAGAAACAACAACACCCGACTTTATAGAATGCGTTCAACCCAAAAGGTTACAGCTCCCTAAATTCATCGATGACATTTAATCACGACAAGGTGGCTTTGCACTCAATGTAGTCTTCCCGAGCAAATGCACGACCTGGAACTGCACTGGAGTTGACTGTGACATTAGCACTGACAAAAAACCGACTTAACAACGTAACTATAGTTGGTCTTTGATTCGTAACAATATTAAAAATAAAAACATCTGACAACGTACAAGTTACCTAGAACCTCTGATATGGGCACATAAACAAACAACAAAAAAACATGGATTTAAATGCCTTTAAAAAGTTTTTTGGTACATTTCTTTTGCAAACAATGCATTCACTTGACACACACATTTGAAACACAGCAAGCTACATGTGCCGTGGAACTTATGCTGGCCCTAAGAAATACGTTTCACGCAAATCAATGCATTACTCTCCCAGTTATTTATATTGTGAGACTTGGCTGTGGTCACATGCCAAAAGTTGATCAATATAACTGTTTTATTTTTCAGAGGGCAAACAATATTTTCACAGAACACAATTAAAACAATTTTCAAGTCACTTGGTTTCTGCCACAAAAAAAGACTCAAAATAGATTCACTTTTTCACCATAGGTATACCGAATAACAAGCTAATAATCTCCACCACGAAAGTAATAGTTTCTAGTTTTTCAACAAATAAAACAATTCTCATTTATAAGAACCATTAATAAGGATATGATTTGTTTTCAATTGATACAATGGCAAACAATGACGCAGTTCTACGTAGAATTAAACAGCTTAATTGTGAATTTTAATAAAACGCTCCACTCTTGTGCTAATTAGGCATTGCACTATGGCTGTTTTTTTAACAAATACTTTCAGTTTGTTCCCATCTTGCTTGTTTTTAAGAGTTAAAGGTACATTTTGAAAAAACTGCAGAAAAGAGCGTAGTTTTTTTGTAGCACCGGTGACCGAGACGTGGATGTTGATGCTCACTCTTACCGAGTTGGCGGTCTAAACGACATGGGAACACATTCAGTTACTTTGAGCTGGTGGTCTGGTTAAGGCTGAGAGCTTTTGTGCATCAACTACTGCACACCTTTGTGTATTGTTAAAGCCGATCCTGGAGGCCCATGTCACAAACTAAAAACGGGCACAGTTCTGTTTACCATCCTCCCAATACGCAGCCTCCTGTTACGTAGGAAAGCTATGACAACGTTTTTGGCTGAAGGTGGTAAATATTCACGATAAAAAATGTCTGACCTCGTGAAAGTATTTTAAACAGAGGGTAAGTAAAATTGTACAACCAATTTTCTCAGCACTTGACTTAACTTGGGCATCGCTTTAAACAATTTGACACAGAGGGTGAGTAAAATTATAAAACCTAGGTTATCCGCACATCCCAAAAGTTGGGCCCTCTCTTTAACAAAGCACAAAAAAATAAAAAAAATAAAAAATAAACATAGGAAATTAACAAAACGATATTGGGCATAAATTATGCAACACTGGCGATATTGTCACATAACTAAAGAATATCGATGAAAATGCCACCTCCAGTTGAAAAGGACCATGCGGATATCCACGTTTAACTCCACGTTGTTGTTGTGGTTTTCCGTTGTGTCAAAGCTACTGCGACGCCTGTTCGATAGCCGCCGGCGCAAGGCTGCACTGCTTGAAGTAGGTGACCACCTGTCCTGGCACTTCCGCCAGCACCGCTTTAGCCAGCGCCTCCTTGGGAGCCTGGTGATTTGACACACACACACAAACACAACCCTGGTTAAGGGAAAATGCAACTCTAAAGAGAATAGCTCTTGTCTCATAGATATGGCCCATATGCCGATTCCATGACATTCGATTTTTAGGAGGTGGCCGGGTGGCTCAGATGTCAAAGCCTGCTATGATCCTGGGTTCGAATCTGGTTTTCAGCCACGAAGGATTATCATTAGAGCTGGGATGATTATTTAATTATGTCAATGAATAAACATTTCTCTCTGGTAGAGTCGGTGCTCCCTACTCTGTGGAATAGAGGTCACTCTGAAGGGATCTAAGCAATAGATCTGGGACATGTGCTTCCGTGGGTTGCGCTGGTCTGCGAGAGGTCAGAATGGACACTTCATCTCCCGGCACGACGCCGATTCGAACAGCTCAGAAAACAATCAGGGGAAGAGGACAATAACACGTGGGGTCACTCGTCCTTCCTGCTTCACGCTCGCGCTAGGAGGGAGGGGCGGGGCGGCATAGCTCACGTTGCGGAAGTCGCGGAACGGCACAAACTGCACGATGTCGCGGGCGGCCGGCTCGCCCGAGGGCGCCTTGAGGACGCCGCCGTCGCCGTCCAGGAACTCCATGGCGGAGAAGTCGGCGCTGCCCACGCCCACGATGATGAGGGACATGGGCAGCCGGGAGGCCTGCACCACGGCGAGGCGCGTCTCATCCATGTCGCTGATCACGCCGTCCGTCACGATGAGCAGCACAAAGTACTGCTGCTGTGCAAGCGCACGCACGCACGCACACACACACACACGTGCACACGCACCGTGAAGCCTTTTATAGACGTTAATATTTGCTCATGTATGTCACACGGTGATCCGAGTTTGATTTCCGCTCATGACCAAAGAAAATGGCGGATATTTTAACCAGTCCTCGTGGGCCTCCCCTAGATCGACTCCGCCTCGAATGAGCACCTGGTGCGGTGTGTAAACATTACCACTAGGTAGACAAAGGCGGCCGGGCATAGTGCTGGCTACCGATCTCCTTGGTGTACCATGCCGGCTATTATAGGTTTTAACGAACAGCAATTGCCCCAACAGTCTGTTCAGATTATATGGGGGATCTTTGTCTTTGCCGTTTTGAGCAGTGGCAGGCCTCCGTGATCTACTGCCAGCGAGCCTTCGACACTTCGCGTGGTCTCAGAGCACACCTGGGCTGGCGCAAGCGCCATGTTGCGAATGTCCCGATTCCAACTTTTCCAAACCCAGCAGAGGTCAGACCCCCGCCCGTGAGCCTGTGCGGCCGCCGGGTTGCGCTCACCGTAGCTGCGGGCTGCTGGGCAGCGGCAGCGGCGAATCGTGCGACGTGGTTGATGATCGGGGAGAAGTTGGTGGGGCCGTAGAGGCGCACCTGGGGAAGGCACGCCATGTACGCCTGCACTATGCCCTCCACACCTGCAGGAGTCGGCGGGGGTGGGAGAAGGAGGAGAAAGTTGAGGCCAATGTCGCCACGAGGCCGAAGCCCTGGGGGGAATGTAACTCCTTGCAGCAACACAGATGTGTACAGTAATCAGGTGCGGATAACCACATTACTCACTCATTCATGTGAAAAGATACTGCAAAACGATGCACACAGTAAATTAGACCGGAGGTTTCTTGATGACTGAGAAGGCAATAAACTCTACTCTGGGTTCTCTAGATTCAGGTAACACATACAGGTGGTTTCAATGGACTGGGAAAAAGGTTAAGTAACGATAGTGTACAGGTATTGAACTGTCATGTTTTTTGTGAGGAATAAACTTCTAGAACTTAGGAGCAAATGTGAATCAGCGACTCTGTGGAATTATATGCTCGCTGTCAAAAGGAATGTTATCTCAATGCACTCTCACCTCTTACCTGGCTTGAATAAAGGTCACGAATCGACTTAACTCAATAAACCCAGACAAATGTCGCACACAAACTGAAAAAGTTGAAATTTGTTTTCTCAAACTGTCAACGTAAGCTGTCACTCTTGTGTCGTAATATATATCGGTTTGTGTGTGCCTACAGTATTTTCCGAACATCAGCATTGGGAAGACAAAGGCGGCCCGGGTGTGGTTCAGGCCACACATCTTCGTTCACCGTGCCTACCTTATCGAGATGTTTACTCACAGCACTTGCCTGAAGAGTCTATTAATATTAAGGCTACATGGGGAACTTTTGTCTTTGTATCTGACTGCGCAACTGCACTTTGTATACACATGTGTACGTGTACACGAATGCACGTATACTTAGACCACCACTGGACCTGCGTATAAGGGAGAATCCTGGAAAGTGCTGTGAAATTGTTTTCCATGAAAGATCGCCTACTATTACTCATCTAAGTCAAATGTCAGTGTCCTCCTGATTATATATCAAGCAATTAGGTGGAGACACTGAGGGCCTTAAGCCATTGGTAGAAACTCCACATTATCATAGCAGAGGACAACATCTCTCTGTATAATGTAGGAGCGTAGTATAAACTGTTGCTGCTGCTCTAGCTGTTGGTATTGGTGACAACTACGAACACAAGTAACAGAAGCAATAATAATGAAAATCTAAATGTGCAGCCCTTCAATGCCTTTCTCATGCCACTGCTAGCGGAAGGGCCTCCCCTAAAGGGGGTTCTAGAGCCTCTCGAAGTAGGGTATTTTTGTCAACTCTTCCATGCTGGTCAAATATCTTGGAACAGGTGCTCATACCCACACTTTACCCCACCACACGAGACTTGCCAATCGACTCACTGCAGTTGTACCTATTTATACCGCTGGGTGGACAGAGGGCAAGGGGGCGATTCAAGAAACTTGCATCGCTGTTTCAACTGCCCGGCTGGGAGATCGACACGGCGACGTCTGGTATTGCAAGTCCTATGTGCTAATGATTACACAGCGACACACATTCTGATATTAATACCTTTACAAAGGAATATTTTTTTATGCAACCCGCGATAGGGTAAACATGCGCGTGCACATGCACCTGGTGAAGCCGTCACCGGAATGAAGCGAGTGTCGTGCATACCTGTGCAGAATGGGTTTAGGGGGTTGAAATTCAGGGCAAATTCGTGCGAGACCTGTGGGAGAGGAGAAAACGCCAGTTTTCGTGGGGAATAACATAACAAATAAAAAAAAACTGCCAAACTTAACCAAAATAGATGGATGGAAGGTTGGACCAGTTAATGCAAACTAAATCGAACACAATGATGGTTGTTTTATACAGGTATATACCAGAAATAAATACGCACAAATACTTACCCTCCATTCTGGAGGAAGCTGAGCTCCAAATCCGAGAGCTGGGAACTGCTTGTCCCTGAACACAAATAAAACATACATCGACACAAATCAATTATAAAATAAGAACGGTAACGTTAATAGCCCTGACAAGAGGGTATTGATGAGCAGGTGTGGCAGGAGCGAGGTGTTGGCAGCTCTTATCCCCTCTTATTTTGACCATCACACCCATTGGTCATGTGTCGTAAGGGCCATTACCTTCATTTGTTACCTCGCATTATCTGCCATTATCTTGTATTATCTGTCATTATCCATCATCTTCCCCCATACACTCATGAGCCTAAGTAATGATGTCCACCAGACAATTATGTCCTCGACTAATATTTTTTTGCAACAGCTGGTCGATAAATAAACTGAAAATGAACAAACACAAAATATATTGCATACGCTTCGATCAGGAGCAGTTGATGTCTGAGTGATTTGGATGTGCTCATCTCAGTGGAGCTGCTGACTGGAACTAATGACGGCAGGCACTGCCTGGAATGTTGTATCAGAAATGTTTTGGAATTTTCCTTTGTGACAATTTTGTGTGTGGAAGGAAAACCAGAGTGATTGGAGAAAACTCATTCACGGCGCAAATTAGTAAACCTACTCGTTGTACTGTCACCTACAAAGCACCGCATGCGGGCAGCTCACACACTTAATTACACCACCGCCAAATGTGTCAAATTCGAAATTCACCCACAAAAAATACTCAATTGGGATTATACACAGCAATCATCGCCCCCTACTGGCATAGGTTAGTCTCGCTAATGAGACTGTCCTGGTTTTTCTGAGTTCCTGAAACCCTTGCATGAACCAGCAAACCAACCAGCAAGTCACTCGGTGACGGACAACGTGCATTACCGCGCACGGCCGTAACAGCTCTTGGAGCTCCCCCCCACCACCCACGCCATGTGTCCACAGGCCGCGGTGTCCACAGGCCGCGGTGTCACCCAGGCACAGCACAGGGGCTCTCGCCCCGCCTCGCGCCACACACTCACGCGTCGTAGTCCTGGATGACCTGGCCCACGGCCCACACGGCGGCCAGGTACTCGTTGGTGCCGGTCGGGCTGATGTGGTGCAGCGAGGACGGGTCCCGCGGGTCCCCGTTGGACGCCGTGAAGTCGATACCGACCTTTGTGCGCAAAGGTCGGGGATAGAGCATACAAACTCCTCCACACCACAGGGATAGAGCATACAAACTCCTCCACACCACAGGGATAGAGCATACAAACTCCTCCACACCACAGGGATAGAGCATACAAACTCCTCCACACCACAGGGATAGAGCATACAAACTCCTCCACACCACAGGGATAGAGCATACAAACTCCTCCACACCACAGGGATAGAGCATACAAACTCCTCCACACCACAGGGATAGAGCATACAAACTCCTCCACACCACAGGGATAGAATATACAAACTCCACACCACAGAGACAGAATATACAAACTCCACACCACAGAGATAGAGCATACCAACTCCACACCACAGGGATAGAGCATACAAACTCCACACCACAGGGATAGAGCATACAAACTCCACACCACAGAGACAGAGCATGCAAACTCCACACCACAGAGACAGAGCATACAAACTCCACACCACAGGGGCAGAGCATACAAACTCCACACCACAGGGATAGAATATACAAACTCCACACCACAGGGATAGAGCATACAAACTCCACACCACAGGGATAGAATATACAAACTCCACACCACAGGGATAGAGCATACCAACTCCACACCACAGGGATAGAATATACAAACTCCACACCACAGGGATAGAGCATACAAACTCCACACCACAGGGATAGAATATACAAACTCCACACCACAGGGATAGAGCATACAAACTCCTCCACACCACAGGGATAGAGCATACAAACTCCTCCACACCACAGGGATAGAATATACAAACTCCACACCACAGAGACAGAATATACAAACTCCACACCACAGAGATAGAGCATACCAACTCCACACCACAGGGATAGAGCATACAAACTCCACACCACAGGGATAGAGCATACAAACTCCACACCACAGAGACAGAGCATGCAAACTCCACACCACAGAGACAGAGCATACAAACTCCACACCACAGGGGCAGAGCATACAAACTCCACACCACAGGGATAGAATATACAAACTCCACACCACAGGGATAGAGCATACAAACTCCACACCACAGGGATAGAATATACAAACTCCACACCACAGGGATAGAGCATACCAACTCCACACCACAGGGATAGAATATACAAACTCCACACCACAGGGATAGAGCATACCAACTCCACACCACAGGGATAGAATATACAAACTCCACACCACAGGGATAGAGCATACAAACTCCACACCACAGGGATAGAATATACAAACTCCACACCACAGGGATAGAATATACAAACTCCACACCACAGGGATAGAGCATACAAACTCCACACCACAGGGATAGAATATACAAACTCCACACCACAGGGATAGAATATACAAACTCCACACCACAGAGACAGAATATACAAACTCCACACCACAGGGATAGAGCATACAAACTCCACACCACAGGGGCAGAATATACAAACTCCACACCACAGAGACAGAGCATGCAAACTCCACACCACAGGGATAGAATATACAAACTCCACACCACAGAGACAGAATATACAAACTCCACACCACAGGGATAGAGCATACAAACTCCACACCACAGAGAGAGAGCATACAAACTCCACACCACAGGGATAGAATATACAAACTCCACACCACAGGGATAGAGCATGCAAACGCCTCCACACAGGGACAGAATATACAAACTCCACACAGGACGGCACCCGAATCAAAGACAGGCACTTCTTGCTGCGAGGCACAAGGTGCTGCCACTGCACCAACCCTGTCGCCCGTAGGCTTTAATCAAATTCACGGCAGGGAATATGCCATGGTGTTTCATGCAACTGCCTCTGGTTATGACTCTTGTCCATTCGGCAACTTACACGGTAACCCTCAAGGTGTGTATTCGGTAGCATTCCTAACGCAGCGTAAACTTTTTAAATCAAATCTCAGCTTACTCCAATGTGAGCCTCAAAACCAGACATAATTTAAAACATCAATTTGCATTCGGACAGTTTGATCTAGACTCTAGAGTGTGCTTTAACAAGGCACAATTAAAAGATTGGTTTGCAGTTTTTTTTAAATTCTGAAATGACACTCGAGGGCACAGGGTACAGTCAATTAAATTCAGAATAAATTGCTTTCACTTTAACACTGTCACATAATGCATTTTAACCAATGTTAATGAAATACTTTGCACATAATTGCAGAGCCAATTATATATTGCACACTGCCACACTTCACATAAAAGGCTTCAGACACCTTCCCACAATTTAACTCATCTCTGCCAGGGAAACGAGGACAAATAATGAATTACAAGCCTCAGCTCCCTTCAAAGCCAAAAGTAGGACAGTTTAGGCCACTGGAACTTTAATAAAAATGTTGTTACACTGCACTATTATTTAATGCCACATATGGCACAGCATTTCCTATCAAATGATGGAGCAATAATTAAGTCACTGTATATAAATAAACATAACGTATTTCAAGGAAAATGAAATCATTTCAATGATAAAGTTAAGGTATTATTTCCCCAACGGCCAATGACAGACACATATATATAACACATATAACTACATATGAATATCAATACGACCGAGCCCACAGCTGCATAGCGAGCAGCAGTGCTACGTTCATCTCCTAGATTAGTGACAGTGGAGGGGACGGAGTCTTAATGGCTTTAGGCTTACCGTGAAATTCAGCTGACAGCCTCCGGAGATGTAGTCCAGGAAAGTGTATTCCGCGTACATCTGCAGAGCACATGTGTGTGTTAATCATACTACGTCTGTGCATAGGTTGTATGTTAATGCACATATGGGAGTGTGTGTATGGGTGTACCTGCCTAAATTGAGTACCTGGTGTGGTATGTATTAGGACTGGGGAAGACAAAGATTGCAGGGTATGATCTTGACCACACGAACCCCCCCATGTGCTGTTTCAAGCTTAGTAAGCGCTCGCGAATTACGTTTGCTCCCCCAGCCTACGAGGCTAATTGGGAGATCTGTGCATCCGTGTGTGTGCACGTGTTCCATTTTAAGTAGAGTTGTCTCTCTAGTTATTACACTGCAACACAGTATCGGAAACCCAGATTTGAGTCTTGGTCATGCATATCACGACTGGTGTTATCTAAACCAATCCTGGGGCTCCTCTATTTATCTACTCGGCCTAAATTAGACTGCAGTACAGTGTGATAAACATCAGCACTGGGGAGACAAAGGCGACTGAGTCTGCATGCTGCGAACCACAGCAATCTCCCTCCGTGCACAATGTTGGATACCGCATGTGATTGACTTTTGGAATCCCACCATCTCCTGCGGCTCTGGCATCCCACGATCCCTTGTGGGCCTTCTGCCGCTTATTTGTGCGCAGCGTTAAGGGGAGGCTTCTATCGAGGACGGTGAAACCACCTTGCAGGATCTGAGCCGCACGATGCCGGAGTGTTGGTAGTCTTTCTTCTTCTGTTTCTTTTTAGCATTGATGCATTTGTAGTCCACCTCGAGTTAAAGAAAACACGTAAAGAAACAATTATTGTCATTATTATTGACGATACATGCTTACTGGAGAAAGCTTGCCGAGTCTCAAGCCTCAGACCTGTGGTTTCTGTTTAAAACATCTCAGATCGCTTACGTATCAAATAATTCAACCACATGCCACCATGAAGTGTGGTTTGCAGCGAAGCTGACCTGGGCATTGTTTGTAGGGGACAACCACCAAATAGAGAATAATAATGTTTTGTTGTGTATATATATCGTGTCGTCATTCATGCAAATGGGATCTCTCAATCGCCGAAGAACAACAGACAAGCTCGAAGGCAGCAGCCAGGTGGTGGGCTGCTACCAACAACTTCACAAGCTCTAGAGACCTTTATATATTAAGATGTTTTCAGCCAATGAATGTTTGTAGAGGTCTCGCAATGCTGAAGGATGAGAGCGAAATCAAACGTTTACAAGGAGCTCTTGAAGGCTGATTTCTAAATAAACATTTTGATTCTGAAATGTTATCTTTCCAGTCGGTACTGTGCCGTAAGAAGTGATATATTCTCGTTAAAACAATCAGACCAAAGCACCAGTTAGTTGATAAACTCCAACGGTCCTACGGTGGTCTGTGACAAGAGCAAGTGACTGAATTGACACTGTTTGGACCAATATACTCCTTACATTTCAATAAGGTCTCTAGCCTGCGCACGCTGCGCCTGCATAAATAATTCCCAAAATGAATTATTTCCTTGCAGAGCCTGGATGTCAGCGCAAATGATATGCATGCAAATCTGTGAGTATAATCACTTCCCCGGCACTGAATATAAATAAAGCAGGTAAATTTACATTTCATTAAACTAATACGATTACAGTTTTTCCGCACTCCTTCCTTCATATGATTTACCGTATATACATGCATAAAAACACACACACACACCTCACAACTTCATTAAAAAAACTAAACAAACACAAGCCTCTACACATCCAAAGAGCAGGTCCTTGCTTTGTGCTTCCAAAGGGTTGATAATGTAAAGCGCTTCAGTTTGCAAAGGAAATCGGAGCAAATTCAAGCCGGTAACGTGGCCGCATTATGAGCTCTGACAGCCGCCAGACGAACGGCATTAGCCGTATCTGCGCGAGCGGCGAGTGCCGGGCTTGTGTGAGCGTGGGGGATTGAGTCCGCGAGGACCGCTGTGTGGATTAGCTAGCATATTGCAACGCGTGCGCGTCTGCGTGCGCGGGGGTGGGGAGCAGCGGCGGCGGTGCGCAGTGGTCTGTGCAACGCGTTCAAATCTCAGGTACCTGGGTTTTTTATCTGCGCCACGCCAATCATGAGCAGCAAGTAGCATCTGAACCTGATCTCAGCCTCCTCCGGGTTGAATCATTTTTATTGTGGCGATAGTCGCACCACCCTCTAGTGTACCGGACTGACCTTCACAGATGCTCACTGATCATGCCTGCCGCCGTGGTTTATAAATCAATTTTCTTCGGTCTGTGCCTCTGCGTATGTCTTTGTTTTTGTGCTCGCGCGTGGTCGTCTGGAGAGCGGTCAGCACACCGCACCGCGGACCCGGCGAACCCGGGTTCGACGCCCACTAACGATCATTAACAGCGGAGAATATTTTAACCGGTTCTGGGATTCCCCCAAGGTCGACTTAGCCTTAAAAAGGAGTACCCCGGGTGCAGCGTGTAAACATCAGCACTGGGAAAACAAGGGTGGTCAGCGGGACGTTGGCCGTCTTCCCTGCCCCTGCGTACGGTGCCGAACTTCATTGGTGCCAACAGCTCTTGCCCAAAAAGTCTGTGTGAAAAGCCATACGAGGGATTCTTCGTCATCGCGTGTGATCGTAAGCCTGAATGCATGCCCGCGTTCGTTTTGCCATTGAATGAATGTGCCTTCACGCACGACGTCAATTTTTATCGTTGAAACGCATACACGCAACACGTGTACGAAGTCTGTACCCATTTATCGGCATTGGCATCAGCCGTGATCTACCCACTGCCGGATGGAGACCTTTCCAAGTCATCGCGATTGCTAATGGTCTTGCGATGCAACAAACCGTATAGGCTCCGGTACACAAGTACGATATCATTGCTCCATCTCCAAGGTGGATGACTTCTTGGGTGCATTCCCTCCTTGGCTAGCACTCTGCTTTAAGTCTTGACCACTAACCATCATCCATATTCACAGTGGATCCTACCCAAGCCCGCTTACTTTTCTTTACAGTCAACACGACATCCTTAACCTGCCTCTGTTCTCTAATCCATGTGTTCCTCTTTCTCTCTCTCAGCGTAATTGCCAACGTTGCACCTCTCTACACTTCTATGTCAATATGCACGTTTCTGATCCACATATCATAGAAACGAACATGCACCGATTTGTCAATGTATTCTTTGCGCGCATTGGTAAGTCTCTTTTCATTATCCGGGTTCAGCTTTCAAAATTATATCCTTCCCACTATCATGTATCTCTTCATTTATTTGTATTATGCTGACCCTAATAACTGCCCTAGGTGCACATTCTAACATGTTTTCTCGTTGTATCTCACGTCATTTGTTGAACAAACGTACAGCAAGTTGAATGTTGTTTTTACCCGTAGTTATGTTTGCCACCATTACCTTTAGGATCTGCAATCATTTTCTATCAATCATTTCCGATGGTTATCACATAAAGTGTCTTTTTAGACTGCATATGTTACGTTATGTATGGGCTATTTCAACATAAAAATGGATATTTGTGCGGCACTCAAAAAAGGACGAAATCACTAGAGCCATGTGCTCTGTAATATATTGCACAGATGACAAAATGTGACAGTGCATTGGCAACAATGCACAAATAATAAAACTCAACACACTTGTCAATAACCTTGCTCTAAAGAGGATATAATTGGTGATGATTCGGGCAATGAACCTTCTTCATAGCAGAGAGGTGAAGAATGCTCATTGCTCAACAGTGGCGCTTCATGTAATTTTTCCTCTTTATGGGGCAGTGATATTGACGAATGTGTTACGCGTTCGTTTATCACAAAGTAGCTTCTCTGGTAACGCGGGAGGCAGATTAGGTCCTGTTCAAGCCGAGAATGCTCACTAAAAACCATGCGCCCGCCAATCTTAATTTCTTTCTCATCTTGTTCAGCTAATAAACGCCGCGAGAATGCACCAGCAGCTCCTTTAATCCTATTGATTCTCTCCGAGGGCAGGTGACTTTGAACGTCTCCATGAATCATATTCTTACTTATACATCTTGGTCCTATAAATTTGAGGCTTTAGCAAGATTACATTGGCAGCCCGTAGCCTGTGACTTGTTGGACATCTAAGTGTGATCTGGTTTAAAAAAAAAAAATTAGGCTGGTTACAAGTTGCTTATGGGATTTAAAAAATATATCTTCGGATAACAAATGAGGAAATTGTGGCACTCATCATTATTTGGAAACACGAACCCATGAGTAAAATATCCATGTTCACATGGCGGGGACCAGTATCTTCTTTGAACAATCACTGAAGATCTCTCTCAAAGTGGTACGCATTTTTATCAAATAGAGAGAGATGGTGCTTTTAACAGTTAAATAAATAGATATAACCACGATAATTTTATGTCATCAGATGAGATCACAGTGAGTTAAAAAAATAGTTACGTGCAAGACTTTGTCATAGTTTTGCATAAAAAGTTAATTATTTTTAAGAATTTTCCGTGGGTAATTTTCTTATTTCGAGGTTTCACTGTATCACTGAAACATAACGACTTGCCTGGGCAAACAAAATAAATAATGAAAGCGGGCAATACGCCTCCTTCCTACCTACGTCTATCCACGTAATTGTTTTTAACGTTTTGTACAATTCCCATCGGTCACATCATTCTTTTGGGAGTGCACATTTTCACCAGCATTTATTCAACAGGAACAAACCGAAGAATCAGATTTGCTTGAACAATGCTGACAAAATGACAGACGTTTCTAAACAATGACCTCTGTTAGAGATAGGTCCTAGTTTGACGCAAAACCATATAATACATATTCATAACAAAACAATATTGTTACTTATATCTTCCTCAATGGCGCTTGTGATAATTTTGCGTTATATCTTTGTAAATGTAAATTCCACAGGGTATTTAACATTCACTTCACAGCAGCTGGCAAGCTTTGGTAATTTCCAATAGATATTATCAGGCAGCTGATTAAACTACCGACTCTTAAAACCATCCCAGTGTGTAGACACATCGCAGCCACTTGTGCTCACGCTGAATAAGTATTAATGTGTTCTCAGCTGCCGTGCGTTTTGCAGAGACGCTTGCACATTGAGGGGACTGCAGTTTTATACAGAGAAGAAAAAAAAAATGCGTTCCACTGCAGGATATTGAAAACGGCATTGGATGGCAGGGTCTCGGCGAGGTGTGAAGATGAACATTGGGAGAGAAAGAAGTTGCTGTACGACATCACGAACAGGAGAGTGGTGCTGGCAAGGCACGTAATGTGCAGACTGAGCAGAGAAACTTTTTTCTTAACATTCTCACGAGAAAATACATGACCGTGACAGGAAAGCAATCACTGGGGTAACATCAGAGATTGTGTGAGATTGTGTCAAGCTTTCGGCCACGGAGACAAAACACATATCCGTGGTACGCTAATCATCAAATAAAAGCATCTATCACATTACAACACTGCATGAGGACAACCGCTATGCACGCCGTCATTGCAACTTCCCATGCAGGTTCGTACCTGTTTGCCACTCTGTGCCTCAAGCATTTGCGTGACGCTCGTCTGGAATTCGCCTATGAAGTCATGGCCTCCGTCGCTGTCGTAATCGTAGCAGGTCACCTGGACAGGTGAGACGTGCGGCAATTAACGATCAACAACGAAATTACACTTGCGGAAAAGTAATCTTGCCCAGCACCGACGACAAATACGAAGCCTGAATGCTTTAATTAGAAGATTAACTGGCTACTGCTAAGTAATGGCATTATTAATATGTGGCGTGCAGTGGCGAGTGTACTGCACTATGAACGCGCTGACATACGTTTGATTTCTGGTTATAGCTGACATGAGTATTGAGTGATATCTGAACCAATTCTATCTCCACCCCTTAACCAACATGCATTGACTAGCATGGTGAAGTATGGTTAAAAAACATAATTGGCATGGCCTAAGAACACCTTTATCCAGCAGTTAAATGACAAAAGGCCCTTATCCATTATTTTTTTGAATTATTTGGATTTATTATTCAATCGTATATAGAGATTGACTATTCAATGTTTAATTCCGTGAGAGTTCATGAAATATCAATACAGCACAATTGAGGCCTTGAATAATCCTTGGAAAATAGTAAGAATTATTAATCATTTTCACTATTTATCTTTCATGCCTCATCCCATTGCTGGGATTTGGGCGAAGACCTAAAGCACAGAAATCCTTACCATAAATCACACAAATCTCTTTGGGGAGATGAGTCTTTTCTCTTATTAAGACTGCAAGGCTGAATAAATCCAGACGGCTAAAACTGCAGCAGGCATTTAGAGTGGGCTGACTCCAACGCAAGTGAGCTCGGAAGCCCAGCGAAGGCCTTGGGCCGTTCCGGCATCGCTCATATCTTGGCCCCAACGTTTTGTGAGTCATGCATATGTTGTGGCTTTGGGTCCTGGTCACTCCTTCGCGGCTGCCTCCTCCCCCTGCGCAGACTCCTGCTTTGGTTGGGGCAGCGAGTCCAACTCCCCCCCCCCCCCCCCCACCGACGTACGATCCCGATGTGCCGAATTCGAATTCTCGCGGAATTTCTGTTCCCCTCCAATGTCGATCGGCGTATCGTACCGGGCTCGCAATTTCATTGCGATAAACATATTTTTTAAAAGTACATCCTCTGTGGATGCATTTTTCCTCGGTAGTGCCCGTGGGGTGCATCGTCTACTCACACGGACAGATCTATCGAGGTCCCCACCGCACAACGACTGCACGGCGAGCGTGAACGGCCGCCATGACGGGTTGAGGGTGTTCAGCACCACCTGTCGTCAACGCAGAGAAGCAGGCCTTCACTTCTCACCCAATGTTTCCTGTGTCACTGGTAGACTGAAGCAGGTGGCACGCGACTCGTTAAGCCACAGCCATATCGAGAGGTATACTGGATGATGTGTGCTGGATGCGGAAACATTTTCTGGGTTTGGTTTGTTGTCCTTCCCCCACACCTCCGATTAGCACAGTTGGCTACATACGTTGCGAAATAAGTTCAACATAGATACATACATACAGACAGTGTACTGCACAATTTACACATGAATAGAAAGCGTTGGCTGACATGGAGAGCTGAACTGGATTCCTATGAACAAAACCTGGACTTGGCTATCATCACATTTGCAATCTGTGCACCACAGACAACGGGCAAGAACATTTTATTGCTTGATTTGCCTCATTAATATTTCACTTTGCTAAATTTCTATCCATCTGTTGGCAATGAAGGGCCATTTAAACCCAGGGTCTTGAGGATACATTCCCATGTGAAGTGAATTTTCCTTAGGAATAAAGGCAGGGACCTCGGATAACCCTCCCATTCAAAAGCCCAGCATTAATCCACAATAGCAAGCTAGCTTTTTGTACTCGTTTTTCTTACAATTCATTATATATATTTAAAGCTTTGTTTGATTTGCTCCTGATTTTTCCACATGTTTTATATGCGGAAGAGCTAATCAAATAATTTAGACTCTCATCAGGAATTGCTTTATACAAATTATCAAAATGTTTTTTTTTTTCCATTAGGATGTCAAGCAAGAGTCTTAATACTGGGTCACCGCAATATAATTGCACTCCTTGGAGTATCAGCAAAGTCATCATAGAAGCTCCGACCTCTGATTAATTAGCAAACATTTTCCTAAATATTTTTTTTTGCCACAGCAACATCACGATCTAATTATCAGACGTTCAATCAATAAACCCAATGGGATTGGGAACTGCATTTCCAAGTTCACGTAAGCTGATTAAAATAGGAATAAATTATAACATGCATGATTTTAAACTGACTTCATACCTCAAATTGTATTTATTGTTTTCTACATCGTTATCCCGTGAATATATAAATGTACTTGTGGAGAATGTGTAATTTTTCTTTATTAATTAATTCAGCTCATATTTAAGACTTTAAATGTCATACTCCATTTACATGTATTCATAATACAGTACATTTTTTCATAACTAAGAACTGAGAGACTGAAGCGCACAGCATGTAAACACGCATTGAAAACGCCGTGTTCACCAGAGCAGGGAGATTATAATCATGGCTTTCTCTCGGCCAAATTACCACCAGTGGATGCAATGACAATGCTATTCATCTACTTCCAAACTAAACATTTCATTATTCATTTGATTGTTTTGTCTTACTTTGTCTTCAGGCTCTGCCAATGATACACTGGGAGCAGCTTACCTCTGTCCTGTGAACCAGAACCCAACTCCCATCATCCCCTTTCTTGAAGAACTCCAGGTAAGGGTCCGATTTACCAAAAAAATCCTGCAGACAGACAGAGGCAATCAGCTAAAAAATAAACATCCGTGCATTGATTTGATCGCATATCTTACACTTCCCTTGCTCTGCATTTCACGTGGTTCTATTTATACCTGAAAATGGGTCACAAACCTCATAGTTTCGATTTAAAGCTTTCGTGACTGCAAGGATTCATCTTCTTCGGTTCTTTCGGTAAAGTCACGTAGAATGAGAATAAAATAATAAATTGATAAAATAAAATAACAGAATAAAATTCTCACGACGTTTCGGCCACAACACAAGCTCTGTCGTCCCGACAGGTCTGTTCCTTTCACCTGAAGAAGGCCGCTTGTGTTGTGGCCGAAACGTCGGGAGAATTTTATTGTGTTATTTTATTTTATTAATTTATTATTTTATTCTCATTCTACGTGACTTCACCGAAAGAACCAAAGAAGATGAAACCTCGCAGTCTTCACTACCAGGACATTGGTCCGCTGCAACTGAACTTTTCCTTGGTTTCAGCCTCTCCAAACATTGGGACCCTGAGGCCAGGGCACCTCGTAAAATGTTGTTCGGTCACGAGCCCCGGAACACAGAGGCATCGTTTTGCACGCATTGTATTTTAGTGTTCAAACAAACGCGTGCGTTAACGTCGTGAAGCAACTGCAGTGGCACATTCTGGCGCATGCACGGGGGTAGGTAGGGGGCTTGCACCTGAGTGCGCCAACCGCACCTCCGATCAGCGCGGTTGGCTGCGTACGGTGCGAAAGAAGTTCAATATGTATACATACGTACAACCGCAAATGTATTTTGCTCCGGGCTCGTGACTCAATCCACTGCCGCGCTCCAATCTACTGCGCGATCCAAGGTCAAGGCTCTGTGCCGCGCGGTGCATTTTAAATTCCCCCCCCCCCCAACCCCTGCTTTGTCGGAGCGTAAAAGGGTGGAACGGCACAAAGGCGCGGCGGCGCATTAGCACCGCTACCGCACGTCCGCTTTGTCGCACCTCCTCGCCGTGCCGAGCCACCGGAGCGTCCCATACACCTCCACGCTCATTTCGCTTAATGGGCGATAGGGATGTCACCCAAGTCATTATTGTAAAGTCGCCAAAATCCTATCCTGTGTAACGCGTAACGTTGTCTTTCACTTTGCAGAGGCCAAACTCTTTTTTAGTTGATCTGAAGACAAAAACCTGACCCTAAAGGGACGAAACAATAATTCAGCAACAGCCCCATGCTATCCGAGCAATGCGAGTCCCCAGGATTGGTCGATTCATCGTGTAGGCGTTGATCAAGGAGAGGTTGGTAGGCGCCAGAGCGAGCCTTTTAAGTCAATATGCAACGGTATTCTTTCGAGCACAAAATTGAAAGGTGCAAAAAAGAAAATAAAGGCAGGTCTTAAATAAAATGTTTTGCCTTACCACCATTATGATAGTGAAACGTCTCTCATGCACATCCCTTTAATCTGTGACTCCTGTTATCTGAAGACTGAATCAAGCTGTGAAATATCCTATTATATGTCGGTAGATTCCTCCGATTATCCACCATTATCCATGGGTAAGAGGAGTCACTTGGAAGTGGCCTTGGATAGGAGGAATTGCATGACAAATCCTCCTGTTATCATCATCATACGGAACTTTATTATGATGATTGATTCATAAAGATGATGGATTGTTAATGACGACGATGATAGCTGAATGGTGATAATGATGCTGGGTTACTGATGAACGTGGTGAAATAATGAATGTAACTGGGCAGTATTCCGACGTGTTCTCAAGCAAGCATTTGCACTCCATGTTTACGAGACTGGTGACGATGCAAACTCGCCTCGGAGGATGACCCCTATGGAGATGAAATGATGACATCATTTCATGATGAAATCATTTCATGTGTAGGAGTGAGAAAGATTGTGGCATCGCAGGACAGTGAAGGATGGTGATGGCATGGGGAGACCTTTATCCAGCAATGAATAGACAATTGCTCATGATGATGGTGGTGGTGATGACGATGGTGACTATAACGGTGGAGAAGATGTCGGTGATGGTGCAACAGTGATAATGACGATGGTAATGGTAATTATAGTGACGATGCTGGTGATGATAATGGTGTTATTGACGATGGTGGTGACAACAATGCTTTTGATAATGACAATGACAGTGATAATGATTTTGTATCTGCCTCTTGTCTCTCTCATTCCGAACAATGCTTCAGCCATGACATATTGCACATCACACTATGCTACACATATTCCGCATTTTGCCCACGAGTATTTGCAGATGAGAGAAGATGAGCGGCAAATTCCCGCAAGCATCAGAATTTATGCATGGGTCTCCGAGAGGATGAACTGTGTATTTTTTGCAGATAAAGGCAGATACTAAAAGCTGTACAAAGCACCACCATATTGACGTGGATAAGAGAAGTTCCAGTGTATCAGAATAAGTACATTTTAATTATGTTCGGGTTACCGTACTGAATATCTATCAGCTGATTTATGGGGAATCTGTTACCCACAAGATATCCCCCCCCCCCCCCAACTAAATGTGGGAATTTAATCCTCGTTAATGATGCATTACCTTTTTTGCATGTTTTTTTTTCCCCCTGTCTTTCCCGGAAGCCATTTGCTACACACAATGAGCAGTGCGGGAATGTGGGGGGGGGGGGGAGGAGGGGGCTGCGGCGCTACGATGACAAAAAAGCCACAAATCAATCTGCCGAACAGGCGGCTGTGATTCTCCCCGGCTCGTGGCACGCCGTTCAAAAGATGGCGTGCGCCGACGTACCTTCTTGTCTAGTTTTATGCCTTCGAACAGGAGTTGCAAATGACGGTTGTCCTTCATTTCTTCAGCCAACACCTACAAAGGAGGAAGATCTTTTTTTTGTTGTGTCTGCTCAGCATCCAGCAATGTTTAATGAGAGGCATTTCAAGGTTGTGTGTGTGTGTGTTGGCCGCATAAATTGTACTCTCTTTTTAATGGCTTTAAAATTTTGTCTGAAACTGAAGTGTAATTATGATTCAACTGCATGCCTCGAAACACTTAAAATGCTAGGCATTGCAGAAATTATCTCCTCCTTTGTATGCAAAAGGTCACCATCTTCGTGACAATGTACTGTAATAGCCATTCAGAGTGCTTTAAGGGGAAAATGTGTGGAATGTGATAAAACCTTTATTTAAATAAATAAGAACGGAATAAAAAATGTGTATTTAAATGTTTTACCTGTATTATTCCCTTTCCAGCAGGGCGGCCATCTTTGAGTACAAGTGCACGGGATAATTTCTTGCTTGAAACCACCTGCGTGGTAGAGTGTCAGAGTTCAACAGAGTCAAATGATCAATGCTTCAGGTGAGGTTTAAAGACAGAGAATACTTGGGGAATGTAAACTATTTGATGGAAAGCCAGAACAAGCCCTTCCAGCTCTAACATAGGCTTTCCTTTAGATTTGACCTTTCCGTTAGAAGAGAACTCCCACAAAGGTGACTGCGGCCCCAGGCTGCGTCTGAAAATATCACGATAGGTGTCCGATAAATATCCTAGACATCTAACAATTGAACCTCCAGCACTTCAATGCCTTTTCACAATGCAGAGTTGTGATTCCATTCAAGGTAAAACATTATTTAGTTTTCCTTGATTATATATTTTTGTTCACATTGAATTTGTATTGCTGATTATTTGTTCTGTCTCCTTTCTACAGTTTTGTTCCCGCCATGAGCATATAATCTCCATGTAATGTATATGATTTGGAAATAATCAGTTCTGTCATAAGCTGAACGACACATTATTTTAATTACCATACACACGTGTCATTGTCCATTTTAACTAAACAATCGGTGCCTTTCGATGCCTAGAAAATACAGAGAGAAATTACAGACAGAAACGTGCAGGCCTCCAAAAGACTAAAATATGTTATTCTAACAAGCATAAGAAAAATAAATGTCCATTTATAATACAAAACAATGAAGAATGGAACACGCCTGAGAGGTTGACCACCACAGAGAAGAAGCAATGAAATCAGCTCGTGTAGTAGATAAACAGACAGACCCTTGCATCACAAGACCACGGCGACTTTGGGAGGCCTTCATCCAGCAGCGGATAGAGCGTGGCTGATGATGATAATGATTTTAAAAATAACGGCTCAGCTAGCGAGCAGATCAAATGGAAAAAATTGTTCTAGTTGAAAGCCAGCTTGGCTCTCACACTCGGTTATGGGACCAAATCCTCAGCCGACTCCAGCAAAAGATGCCTCACCTGTCCAAGGGTCAAGGTGAGGTCCCCCAGGAAGTCGTGATCCTGTAGTCGCTTGCTGGGGCTGTCGAGATCGTAGATGGCAAAACGCAGCTTCTGCACCTCCTCAAAGTGGTAGTCGATCTGGAACTTGTGCGCGAACACCGGGTTCAGATCGTTCTTCATGCTCTCCGTACGGCCCAGCTGGACACACACACGTATAGAGACAAATAGCTCCTATGTGACCTATACAGACTGTTGAGGCAACTGCTGTTTATAACTGGCACCTATCAAAGCTGGCACAATGCAACAAGAGATTGGGTTTGACCAGCACCATGTCTGGCCGCTTTTGACTGCCCAGTGCTGTTTACACAACCATACCAGATACTAATTTAGGGCTCAATTTACCTCACGCAGCCGGAGGATCGATTGTGATAATTGTCACTGATGTTAGCCATGGCTAGGAATTAAACTAAGATTACTGGCTTTGTATCACAACGTGCGAATCACTGCACCACCGTTGGATTCTCGAACATTCACGTACGTGGGCACGTGCGCGCACAAGGAAACAGAGCCTGAAATCCGTATAAAACACCGATATACACCAGAGTTTAGAAAAATAAAAAGCATAGTTTGGTCGTTTTGGAAAAAAACGATGTACCATTCTTGGTCTGGGGCTATTGTTTTAGGATGAGGGCGACTACAACCACACCGTTCCTTTTACATGGCAATGAAAAGCCATGTTTTTGGAATTTTGTGAGCACAGATTTGAAGTACCAAGGCAAGCCCCTGCCTGTAGGAGGCACGTTTTGTGCTGCTTTGTGCATACGCAATGCACATATACGCCTACAAGTTGCACCCCAGCACATATGCACGTTCACGAACAACAGACACGCAACAATGCGGTCACAAAATGTGTGCGCGTGAAAATACATTACTTATGACTGATGAAAATTGTACGTTAATGTTACGTTTCGGATAATGGAGCAAACAAAACTGTACAAATTATATGGTACATACAAAATGCAATACAAACGAGATGGTAAACGTGAGATAATTTTTTTTAAATAAAATGTTTTATGGAATGAAACAACGGATGCTTGCAAGGACTGTTAAACAAGACACAGTGAGGCTTTGCTCAAATACATGTTTAATTATTTATTTTTACAAGCACATTAGCTCATACACTTACACAAAAAATGAATGACAGCACAAAAAAAAGATTTGAAAACACAAACACTTGTTCGCTCGCAGGCTACAATAACAACAGCCACAAGGGCTGTGTCAGGCTTTGGTGCACTTTGAAGCAATGTGGTGTAGCAAAGCACCTGTTGGACGGAAGCCACTGAGACATTTCCAGGAATTATAAGTGAACAGAATGGGGAGGCTAGCCGGTGCATTCAATGTACTAAACCATTTCAACAACTTGGGTGTGAATTCCGTAACAATGCACGCATCATCTCGGACCAAATATGCCAAACATCCTGCACCTTTAAGACGGTGGGGCTATCTTCGTTGGAAAATGTTCAATACAAATGCCTAAATGTATCACGAGTACGCACGCTGCTGCTGCTGCTGCTGCTGCCGCACAAATAAAAATCGTCTGAAAATGCGCAAATTTCGGGACATGGTTCTCACGTGTGTTTGACAACTGTGGTCGTTGTCGGCTCCTCTGGCGGAGCCACGAGTTGCTCGCAGGAAGCCTTTGAACATCAAGAAGCCCCCTGGGTGTGCAGCGGCGGTGTCACTCATTCTCCGCGCTTTGTTCGCGGCCGGCGTGGGAGTGGAATGCCGCGAGACGGTCAGATGTGCCGCTGGGTACTTCTCCACAGACGTAAAATATATATATATATACGCACACACGCCTACGAGCAAATAACCCGGAATGCGCCCGATTCCATCGGACATTAGAAAATAAGTAGGACTGAGCCTGCATGGTGCTTTGATGGGTGGCCACCATAACACAGGAGTAATCGACTGTGAAGCCCTTGTGGTGAGGAAGCAGAGGGCGGTGCAGCAACATCCACTCTTGTGACTGTGTACCTCTACTACAACTATGCTCCCAGCCTTTCCAAACGATACTGACCAACGTGGGGAAGTATGGTCATATATCCCGAGGAAACTGCACGGTGTAGGCATAGCCTCACCCAGCAGCGGATTAACGAAACGGCTCTAAGTGTACAAAAAAACCAACTAAATAGCGTCTCCCTGCTCAAGCGAGCCGGTCGTGGTGATCATCTGTGTTTACCGCCTCGAGTCAGCGACGTATAGTCCACATTCACGTGGCAGAGCACGACCGCTTCTTGACCTCCACCAAAGCGGTACTCATTCCATTGACCCCTGCAGTGGTGAGAGGCTGCGTGGACTACCGACTCGCATTTGAACTTGCGACACTGTAGAGTACAGCGTTGCAAGTTTTCCACAAAGTAGCCAACGCGGTACTGTAGTTGATTTCTTATCCCCAGAGGAACGAGGAGCTGAGTCAACTTCCCGCCGGGGATTTCAACGAAGAAATCACGGGTTGTGACTTGCAAGTTCTCTCCGCAAGCATTTGAAGGAAACAGGCTTGGGAGTGGCGGCACAGTGGTTATCGCGCTGCGTGAGGGGGTATAAATTATTGTTATTATTGTTAAATAAGTAAAGCCGAATCAATATGTGAATTCGTTTGCATGCTTGCATGTTTCACATCTGCTGTGGTATGCAGCACGTGGTACGAAACATCAGACATTATGTCACATAACACACAGTAGCCTAAAACACATTGCAGAACTGTAAATAACTGCACGTAAGTTTCATTATGACCTCATCGCAATGGAAATGGCAAAGAATGATGCCCAACTCAACCATTTATGGACTGGCTCTGTCATTTGCGGACACCGAGCTGATCGCAAGGACTTAACATTAATCTTCTTAGCAATTGATTTCAGGGAAGAAAACACTAACCCGAATACATTAATGTGTGCAAGTGAGATGTGTAAGCTGTTTAGAATAATGGTGGCATTAACATGGACATGTGTTTTAAGAGCATCAGATAATGTATACCATTATCCTCACGTAACAAGGATTGACTTTCATGTTGTTTTTTTTTACTGTGGCTATTGAAAAGTACTTAAAATGCACATTAATATACGTTTCGAAGCCACGCATGTACTTACCATTTGCGTGCAAGATCAAGGATTTCGTGTTAGGTACAGATGTATCCATACACCCACACAAAATGCTATCTGTGCATATAAAATCACCATCTTACTTCGAACCCGGCAAGCGGGGTTTTATCTCTGACCACGGCTAACCTCAGCAGTGCAGGATGTCTCTACAGGTCCTGTGTTCCTCCCTCCACCATCCCATCCTGACCAGCGCGAAGGACAAACAGCCCCCGTGACTGACATGGCGCTGGAAGGTCTTCACCCCGCGGTAGGATTAACAAAGGTGCGGTACAAATGTAATTCTGAAACAGCGCCATGACCGAAGCAAGTACCTCCATCCAGTTTCCTGGGCCACACTCCATGTAAAGCACGCAGAGCGGATCCGACTTGGAGGTGATGTCTTTGTCCAGGAGGTTGGTGCACGACACTGACATCTCCACCTTGGTGACGCATTGCTGGGCTCCCGGCACCCCTGGCACTCCCGGCACGGGTCCCACAGTGTGCGCCATCTCCTCGCTCCCTGCACCCCCACGGAAGCAAAGAAAGGGCAGGGAGGTCACATTTCCGGAACAAGGGTAGGCGGTTTGTAGATGAAGCTACCACGTGTTCAAACAGTCCTGGTTTCACAAGTACTGTCACCGTGTCGTACCATGAAGCTTTTGGTGAAAATGTGGGGTTTTTTTTTTTTGCCCCAGTTTAAAACGTTCTGGCCTCATGCTTGACTTGTTATGGGCAAGAGTTGGGGGGGGGGGGGTGGGGGGGCGAGTAGTGAGTGGAGTTGAAGTAGAATAGGCAGGGCTGACATTTAAAGGAGTGAGGTTACTCACTCGCTGTGTTTGCCGGGCATAATAGTTCATTGGGAGTGGCTTTTGAAAATTCTGTGGGGCTCATGGAATGGGGCCTGGCAGCTCACCAAAGTGTCCCAGTTGAATCCCACAGAAATATGGAAGCTTTACTCAAAGGCATACATTGATACATCGAATCGTAAATATAAATCGGTTCTTTGTACTCACAATACATCAAATAGTGTGTGTGTGTGACAGCCAATTTAGGCTTATGGCATAAGAAACATTTTTACAAAAGAGAAAGGAAAAATCACTAATGTGAACAATATGAGAAAAACAAGACAAAAATGTATGATTATTCAGCTGAATCGGGACCCTGAATCGATAACATTAACGTATGTACCAACCGTCCGAATCGGAGGTCAAGTGGAAGGACAACAAACTAAACACAAAAAGCAGTTCTAAAGAAATTTAGAACAAAAAAATACGACGTACCTTTTGGCTCAGGGTTTTGACATCCATGCCTACTGAAGGCACTAAGCCAGACCCCAAGTGAAGCCATGTGCAGTGCAATGAGTTTGACGGTCTCAGCAAAGTCACTATTAATTGTTAAATTATTGGATAATTCACCATCGTTATTATCGTTGGATGTAACTGCCTCTTGACAGTACCATGAGATAAAAGTGCATTGAGTAAATTCACAATGTCAAATTATGAACATAAAGTGACTCCCAATAAAGTAATTGCTCTGATTGAGACAGACCCAGCAGTTATATGTACCATTCATGACACGTCTTAGGCAGTAAGAGAGATAAGATACCAGAACAGTTGCGCGAGTGCTTATCTGCAAACACTTCCACGTTATCCCTGTTTTGATCTCTATTGCGCCATGCCTCTCTTGCTCTTGTGTGACCGGTTTTCTCTATTGCTGTGCACAGACATTCCCTATCACAACGGAAAATGTAACCAACGCAAATGGATCGTGGATGGGTATTTCAGCATGACAATGATCCAAAACACACGGCCAAGGCAACAAAGGAGTGGCTCAAGAAGAAGCACATTAAGGTCCTGGAGTGGCCTAGCCAGTCTCCAGACCTTAATCCCATAGAAAATCTGTGGAGGGAGCTGAAGGTTCGAGTTGCCAAACGTCATCCTCGAAACCTTAATGACTTGGAGAAGATCTGCAAAGAGGAGTGGGACAAAATCCCTTCTGAGATGTGCAAACCTGGTGGCCAGCTACAAGAAACGTCTGACCTCTGTGATTGCCAACAAAGGTTTGGCACCAAGTACTAAGTCATGTTTTGCTACTTATTTCCCTGATTAAAATGCAAATCAATTTATAACATTTTTGACATGCGTTTTTCTGGATTTTTGTTGTTGTTATTCTGTCTCTCACTGTTCAAATAAACGTACCATTAAAATTATAGACTGATCATTTCTTTGTCAGTGGGCAAACGTACAAAATCAGCAGGGGATCAAATACTTTTTCCCTCACTGTAGCCTTAAATAATTAACTAGCCAGTGCAGATTATATATGTTACATAGTAGAAGTAATTTCCATAAAGGTTCACAAAACCGACTTATTCTCATATCCTCCTACGTCATACCCTGTGCTGTGTATCATAGATTGGTTCACGTGCCCCTGCAGTCACTGGTGACCGCTGCATTGACCAGAATATTGAGAGAACATTTTATAATTGATTCTTAAATAAAATTGTGATGCGAAGTGAATCTTTGTTGCCGTCAGTTGAGAGAGAGAGAGGCAAGAAGTCTGCAGCTTACAGGCAAAAAGCAGTGATTAAGATGGTGTTGGGGAAAATCCACAGCCTTGTACTAATAATCTTATACTAAAGGCATCATTCATCAACACAGTAAATTAACAACCCCAGGCAAAAAAAATCAATTGAGCACTAAAGATTGTATAAATCAGCACCGCCATTGCGGTAGGATGGTCATTTGCAATCCAATCGTGCTTTGGCAAATGTGCCCGAATTTGTCTGAGCCCATACAGTGTGGGGAAAACGCCAAAAATCGCTGGCATTAAAAACCACAAGGTGTGTTGCATGCCCATGCAGCAGCGGAGGGACAAGGAGCATCTCCCTGGCTTCTGTTAATCACCGCTCTTTTTTTCATCTGCATCACATACTTAAAGAAAAGAGCACAGAGAGCCACCGCCGCAGGGAGAGCTGATATAAATGGGCCAACTGCGCATATCCGCACGTCAATCGATCCGATTAAAGGTCAAAGTATTTGGTGATACCATGGTGGCAGTGCTGCACGAGCACAATTGGCAAGAACAACAACTCAACACAATTAGGCGAAGTTTTTGGGCAAGGGCATTTCTTCATAGCACATAAATAAAGAGGGCAGAGCGATCGAGTAGATAATAGGAGTTGGAAGCTGAATTTCACACCATGGGGTCTGAAGAGAATGATGTTTGTTTTCTTGCTGGCACATTGCATTGTGGGAAGATTTGTTCTGGGTACATTACCATTTCAATAAAACAACAAGGATTTGCTTTAATACAATGAAAATGCCCCACGGTGTAAAGTGGAGTCTCTAACTAAAATTATATATCTCTCTGGGCTCTATTCGTGCGCAATTAGCCTTGGCCAAAACAAATAATCAACTAAATATATATTTGTTTTGAAGGCCAGTGTTAGTACCAAATGCTATGGGTGTTTTCAATTGAAGGTTATGCATTTCAGCCAAATACTGAACCGAGAGGAGTGTATGTAAAATAACGTGTGTGCTCTTACAAGTGCCAGTCCTGAACGTAGGGATAGGCAACGGGAGTCGTGACACGCCTCTTGTTAATCTGCTCGACGTCAAATAGAACATTGGCGGATGCCGACTTCAATTGCTTTCAATACAGGTTTAGAATTTTTAAATACTAAATTGTATTGCGCATGTGGTAACTTGTAAAGTAGTGTAACGTTGAAGAAGTTGGCAAATATGGTACAATGCCTTCAATCATTATACACCTTTTATGGTTACAAGTATGCTGCCTCAATTCATACTCATCTAATGCTTGATCTAGTAGTGTAATAAAGTTATTCATGTATTTGCTTAGATAATTTGAACAGCAGTTTTACTTTGTTTTGCGTATAAAATGAAAGACAAACGCATATGGTGCTTGCACATGTTCTATTTTTAACACAAAGTAATATTCCAACCAACCAACATAGTTGAATGCGGTTGGAAAAGTTTATTGACATGAAGGAAGTAGCTGACCCACTCAAGTTGAAATAAAATGACATGACATGTCCAATTACTGTACATTCATGTCCTGTCCTTGTGCAGCCTACTGACCAACACATCCACTGCAGATATCTAAAGGACATTGCACGTAAGACACAGATGAACGCTGAGCAATCAATGAACATCAAAGACTCCTAATGGGCAGTCAAGTCAATTACAGCTGAATATTTCATTAAAAAGCCAGCTAATTATAAAGTTGCAGATTTTACGTTTGACAATACGCCAACACGCTGGATCTACTAATCGATTGCAGTGTTGGTGTTCATGCCGAGGCCAATCGATTCATGTCGCGGATTTCTATTCATCACTGCAGAGCCGAGGCACAGATTTCTATTGAGCAGCGAATGTCATCACGTCTCTCGTCCCCCCCGTTCCCTGCGATTCCTCAACAGGACAGAGTTGCATCAGTGTTTGTGACATCGCTATCGAAGGCTGGATGGGCTAGCTGTCGTTACGCTTGCCGGCAAGTCAATTTCAAACAGCTGCCTGGCGATTTTTTATAAAGAAATGCTAAAACATGCTGTTGGCTGTAAAGCGCACATTAAAGACCTCAGTGGCAAAGAGGTGGTTGGCAAAGGCCCTGGTGCAAGGAACAAAACGGGGACCCCTATCTAATGTTTGACCCTTCTTCCTAGCCTGCCATCTGTGCCTCTCCGGCCCAGTGCAGTTGGACCGCCTGCACACTCAATAGCTCACCCGCTGCCTGTTACACCATCATTCGCAAGCATTGAACACTTTGATTCGGTCCCAAATCCCACGTTTTGAATCGAATGTAATTGTAGAAAAAAAACAATACAGTGAAATCGTAGAAAATTCCCGAAATTATTACAAATGGCTGGGTGATGCTTGAAAATGAATAACTGTAAGTGTTAATGGGCTTTCACTTGGTTAAATAAAGGACACAGAATTGAAGCCGTGCCTCAGAATTAACCTTCAGTTCCCAGGATAAAGGGTCGCTGCCCCATCCAAATACCAACCCGCCTTGCGGCATGATTCATATGACCCCCAGTGAACTTGCAGAATGGTACAGGTGCAAAAAGTGCAATAAAATAAATTGTGGAACAGCGTTGTAGAGGCTACAGAGCAACAGGCATCCATGATGAGACGGCAGCTCTCTACCCATGTCTGTGTAAATGTTTTGTAATGAAGTATCCACAAGAGACTTGGGCACGCTGTGGATCTGAGTATTGTATTGGTTCTAGTGAGAAAGGACAAACAAGCTGCCATCTAACCCCATTTCTCCTTAGGGCCATGTGTTGTCCTAAACATAATCAATGCAGACTGCTTCTGCAAATAACCGACTATTTAACGAATGTCCTAAAATATGCGTAGAATAAAGAAGTAATGAATGGGAAATATTTATACACAATGACGGGAAGTGGACGCACAGTATAACATGTACGCTAATAATAATGTACACACACACGCACGTTTTGACCAAGGTTAAAACATTTTCCAGAAAAACAAAGTAAGC